AGAAGGGATTAGTTTAATTTAGCAATATGTTTGACACAACATCATGGGCTGAAGGGCCCATTCCTGTACTGCACTGTTCTATGTACTATGTACTATATTCTCAAATTCAGCAAGTCTGGCAACATATGTGAAGAGAAACAAAATTAATGTTTTAGGTCTGTGACTTATCATCAAAACAATTTGATTGATTGACTCCACTGATCTATGAGATGTTTTGAAGACAACTTTAAGATTGTGTCAGAGAATATTAAAAAAAAGAGTAGGGTCTTTTTCTGTGCAAGCAAATCTTTGACGGATCTGTATCTTAACTAGGTTTACTCAGATTAGTTCCATAATCTTTCTTCTTAGCTATCAAAAATCTATCCATATTAAGTTTAGAAATTTTCAATTACCCTGCATTCATAGCCTTTAGAATGAAAAGTTCTGGATTTTCACTACACTTTGTTGAAGAACAGATTCCTTAATCTGACGGCTTAATTCTAATGTTAAGATTGTACTCCCTTGTTCTGGATACCCCCTACCAGATGAAATAGGTTCTCTCTGCCTACCCTATCATATTCTGAAATTATTTTAAACACCGCATTGCATAAGCTTTTAAAAATCCTAGAATAATACAACACAGGAGGAATCCATTCCACCTCTCTGGGGTCTGCACTGTTTCTAGCAAAGAACAATGTAGTTAGTCCCACTCCATTGCTCTTTCATCATATCCCTCCAAATCTTTCTTCTTCAAGTATTCATCCACTTCCCTTTTGCAACTCTCTCTGTGCCCTCTGCTTGTTGACATTCAACCAATGGACGGTTTCACTTTATTTATTCTATCTATGCCCTTTATGATTTTAAACACTCATCAAGTCTCCTCTTAAAGGAAAACAACCCCAGCTTCTGCAGTGTATCCACAAAATGGTAACTGTACAGCCTAGAATTATTTAATTAAGGCTCTTCTTCGAAGGCTTCACAGATAATGAAGCAGTTTGCAGTTTTATGTAGCAAGACTTGGTCTTCGGGGCATATTACTATGTCAAATGTGCTCTATGAATTCAAATTTTCATTATTGGGTAGAATTCAGGCTTGGGGTGATAAAGTGATGTGCAACATTCACTCTGTGCAAATACCAGGCAATAACCATTGTTATGGACCAGACCAAACCCCCTTAAAGTATTCAGAAGATAGTCTAGACTGTAAATGCCAGGCATTGCATTCTAAATGCAGTTGGATTGATTTGAAGCAAAACACACTTTATTCATAACTATAGTTAATATACAAAAAGAAAGAAGCAATTGAATAACTTAACTCTATTTGAAAACTTAACAGAATAATAGATGATTTAACTAATAAACACTAACTGTTCTGAAATAGTAATATCCCATAAACACACCCTTGGCAAAGGCAAGTTCAGAAAAATAGATTGTCTCACAGACAATTCTCCAGCCCAGGTGGAAAAAACATCAAGAGAAAACTCTGTGCGAGACAGTAGCAGGGTGAGATGTACTGCAGCTTCCAAACCCAGTTTCAAGACCCCAGCAGCAACTGCTACTGAAAACTAAAACTAAAAATTCTCATTCCATCGGAGTTTGCCCTACCCATTCAGGCTACTTCTATTGTTCCTACTTTAAGAAAAAAATCCAAGGTCTCCAACCTGTTTACTTTATGGGCTTTCAATAGACAGGTCTATACATCTGCCTTAAAATCTCTCTTCAAAAAAAAATGGACAAAATGCATCTCTTAAAGCCACAGTAACATCATACCATCTCAGAAGAGAGTCTAACCACTTACCTTATCCAATATCCAATGCTGAATATCCACTAAGATCATCCAAGGTTGGTGGGGATTTACCACCGAGCAGAAATTTAAACTTACTGACCACATAATTACTGGGGCTACAAGAGCTAAATGGTAGCTGGGAATTTTATGGCAAGTGACTCATCTCCTGACTTCCCAAAGCCTGTTCACCATCTACAAGGCAGAAGTCAAAGGTGTATTGTAGTACTCATCACTTGCATGGATATGTGCAGCTCCAGTAACATTCAAGTAGTTTAACATCATCCAAGATAAAGCACCTAGTGTGATTGGCATCCCAAGCAACTCTCTAGACATTTATTCCCTCCTTCACCAGTACAATCTGCAGCATGTACACTAAACGAGATGTACTGCAGTGTCAAGAGGATATTTAAAAATCATTAAGGGGAGGTAATGGCCTAATGGTATTATATGACTATTAATTTAGAAACACAGTTAATGTGTTGGGAACAAGGGTTCAAATCCTGCCAATGTAGAGAGTAGCATTTGAATTCAATAAAAATCTGGAATTAAGATGACCATTAAACAACTGTAAAGGTAAACCTATCTGATTCACTAATTTCCTCTACAGAAGGAAACTGCTGTCCTTACCTGGTCTGGCCTACTTTTGACCTTAGACCCATAGCAAAGTAGTTGATTCTTAACTGCACTCTGGGCAATAAGTGCTGGCCCAGTCAGCCATGCCCTCATTGCAAGAATGCAATTAAAAAGAAACTAGCCAAGGCTACATGGACACCAGCATTCATTACCTCCACTGTCTGGAAAGGCAGGGCCAACAGATGACTCTAGAAGTCACCACCTGCAAGTCACACAACATTTTAACTTGGACATCAATCACCATTCTTTCACTGTCACGGGCAAAAAATCCTGACCTCCCTACAATATATAGTGGGTGGTTACAAAGTGTAATTCTTGCTTCATACTACTTTTGAAACAAGGTCCATTCTTTTTTTAAATGAGAATTAAATTGTTCCAGCTACAATATGCATTTATATAGTACCTATAATGTAGTATAATTTCCCAAAGTGATTTCAAACAAAAGTTGGGTCTGGGCCAAAGGAAACCAAAAAAAGTGACCACAAGCTTGGTCAAAGAATTGAGTTTTAAGAAGGACTTTAAAGGAAAGGTAAGAGCTTTTATAGAGTCATACAGCACAGAAACAGACCCTTTGGTCTAACCAGTCCATGCCAACTATAATCCCAAACTAAACTAGACCCACCTGCCTGCGCTTGGCCTATATCCCTCTAAACATTTCTTATCCTTTAAATGTAACTGTACCCAAATCCATCACTTCCTCTGGAAGTTCATCCCATATACAAATCATTCTTGGTGCAAAAATATTGCCCCCTGTGTCTTTTTTAAATCTTTCTCCTCTCACCTTAAAAATAAGCCCCATACTCTTGAAATCCCCCACCCTTGGGAAAAGACACCTGCCATTTACCTTATATGTACCCCTCATGATTTTATAAACATCTATTATGTCACCTCTCAAACTCCTACACTCCAGTGAAAAAAGTCCCAGCTTCTCCTTATAACTCAAACACTCAATTCCTGGCAACATTGTAGTAAATCTTTCCTGAACCTTCTCCAGCTTAATAATATCTTTCCTATAATGAGGCGACCAGAACCGCACACAACATTCCAGAAGAGGCCTCACCAATATCCTATACAACCACATGAGATCCTAGCTCCTATACTCAAAGGTCTGAGCAATGAAGGCAAGCATGCTAAACACCTTCTTAACTACCCCGTCTACGCAATGCAAACTTCAAAGAATTGTGTACCTGAATCCCTAGTTCTCTGTTCAATAACACTACCCAAAGCCCTTCTTTTAATTGTATAAGTCTCGTCCTTGTTTATTTTACCAAATTGCAATACCTCATATTTATCCAAATTAAACTCCATCTACCACTCCTCAGCCCATGGACCCAATTGATCAACATCTCTTTGTAATCTTAGATATCCTTCTTCACTGTCCACTATACCACTAATTTTGGTGTCATCCACAAAAACTTACTAACCATGCCTTCTAAATTCTCATTTAAATCATTTATATTGCCTCCAACAATTTCCTGATATAACAAGCAATGAGTCAAATTGGTTGAAGACTGGCATCGGTGAGGCAGGGGACCTCTGGAAGAGGCCAAGATGGATAACTCACTTGGCATTTCTGAATGAAGACAATTGCAAATGTTGGGCTGTGAGTCCGTGCTGGAGTCAACTATCATTGAAGATGGAAATATATAGGAAGTCTCCTTCTCCAATGAGTTGCTTAATTGCCCACAACCATTCACAACTGGATGTAGCAGGACTGCAGAGCTTAAATCTGATTTGTTAGATGAGGAATTGATCAGCTCCATCTATATCTGTTGCTTATGTTGTTTGACACACCAGTAATCCTGTTTTGTAACTTCACCAGGTTGACAGCTTATTTTTAGTTACGCCTGGTGCAGCTTCTGGCATACACTCCAGCACTTTTCATTCAACAATTTATTCATATACTTACTATGAATAATGCTATTTTATGGCAATTGATTTTTCCACCTTTGAAGAAACTACAGATTATAAAACCTAACATTCAAGTATTAGCAGGTCTAGCAAAACTGGGACTTTCAAATAAAATCAGAAATTGCTGGCAAACCTTAGCAGGTGTGGTAGCATCTACAGGAGGAAAGCAGAGTTAACGTTTTGAGTCTGATGAACTCTGTTCTGATGAAGAGTCACTGAACTTAAGATATTAACTGTTTTCTTCTCACAGATGCTGCTAGACCTGCTGAGTTTCACCAGCAATTTCTGCTTTTGTTCAATTCTCCAGTGTCCGCAGTTTTCTTTTTAGTGTTCAGACTTTCAAAGTTTGTCTTTATGGCTGTGTACCTTGTGAATTTAAATCCACATTCCCATTAACTTGCCAATATCATGAGTTGTTGATACCAAAGGTTTTTGGGAATTATGATTCAGAATTTATCTACCTATGAGAATGACACTTTTTCAAAGCTACAAGCCATAAAATTCAAATAAGATTGCAAGTTAGCATTCATGAACACAATTAGAATTAATTTGGCTGAAGATTGCAATGGTTGGCTTTGGTATTCAGTTTGGATATCTTAGCTGTGAGACATTCCTTTGGGCCGGAAGTTTTAAATAAGCAACAGGAAAGTTGGTTATACAATTGTAGAGATCAAAAAAAAATCCAAGTGAGCTCAGTTTTAAACCAGTTTTTAATGACTTGTTGAAGATTACACAACTGTTTACAAGTCAACATAGAGACAGGCAGACTGAAGAATACAATACAGACTAATTGAGTGAGCTCACACATGCAGCATAGACAAGAAATGTGTTGTCTTTATTCAGACAAAGCTGGCATGTATTACCTGAGTAACCCAAGGAAATCTTGGGGGATTAAGTGCAACATCTACAATTAAATAAAAAATATGTTGGAACCTGTCAGGACACACGCCCTAATGGAGCAAAATATTAAATAATAATTAATTAAATATTGACATACTTTAATAAATACTAAATAATTTAGTGTTACAAGCGGAGGATGAATATTAGTAATAGACCTGACTTCTTCAATATAGCATTCAAAAAGGATAAGCTAACACTAGAAATTGAAGGTGTTATTAATTAGGAAGATAAAGATATGAGTATTTTAAGATAGAATATAAAAAATAAATCACAATGTCACAGCGTGGGGACAATGCCTATTAAATAGAATTATTTAAACTTTCCTTTTATATATTATCTTTCAAATTAATCAAAACATTTAAAACATTTCCAGTTGATAACGAGTTTGTTCTCCTTTGAGCAAATAATGTTCAGGAGAAATTTAACAGCAGTATTGAAAATTGAGGGGTTTTGATAAAGTAGAATAGGAGAAACAGTTTCCCACTCACAGGAGGATTTGTAATTATTTAATGCAACTGGCAAAAGAAGCAGAGTGTGACGCATTGCTATGATTTACTGTGTATTGACTGTAAAGGTAGTGAAAGTAATTTCAACAGTAATAAAGGAGAGTTGATAAACACTTCCAGGAAGAAAAATAAATTACAGGGCTATGACAAAAATTTGAGCATAGACATGATGGGCAAAACGGCCTTTCTCATTTTTTACTGTGTAATTCTATGATGGGCAAGGCACAAGATTAGGATTACGAAACTATTTTGTATGTGGACTGCAGTGTAAGTGCTTTTTTGCCTGCATTTTATGGTAACATAATGCAGACATGCCAAATGTACAATTTTCTTCCATCTCATCCCAGATCCACTACTGTATAGCTGACAAACACGTTAACTGTAGTACTATTCCAAGGTCAATTCAACACATGTTCCATGAGAAAATGCAATAGGGCAGCAAACAAATATAAGGCTCAAGCTTCAATTCCTTGGCTGTAAGAAGCTCAAATCAGACCAGCATTGGAAGTGTTTGCAAAGAGCAAAATCTTCTGTTTTGGAGGTGTAGAAGGGAGACGCACAACTAGTACTTCCTTTTGATCGCTAGAAAATATGCACATGTGGAAATAAGCAAGGACAGGATCAAGCTTAGATGTGATTCCCTCCATTTCTGAATAGTTTACAGATACATCTGAACTGCACAAAAGCCTAGAAATCAGGGTTCAGGAATGGAGGGGAAGAAATAAAGACTCCAAAACAAATACCTCTGTTCCTTGACAGTTTATATGTACTTACCCAGGAACAAAAGTATTTTGAATAACTGTCTAACTTGCAAATCAAGATTCTGTGGTTATTTAATACTCTTTATATTGCTGTAGTGTTCAGGGTGAGCAACCTTCCTGCATTTTACAGAACCATTCCATAGTCGAGGAGGTTGTCCCATCTCCTGGGCTGTTTGTTGCCGGCTGCTGTTTATCCCAGGATTCTGACAATTGATTTTCACATACGTACATTATACACCTATAAACGTTCACTCCTCCCCACAATCCCTTCAAAAATGAGTCTTGCTTTCAGCACAAGGAAGATGGCAGGTGAAAATCTCAAAATTAATATATAGTTAATGAGATTCATATTCTAAAGAACTCCCAAGAGATTGTAAGAACCTAAGTTTTGGAAAATTAAATATCATCCTGAGGAGAGAAATGTCAGGTTAGCAGCATTAGCAAAACTTTCTGAAGTTTTGAAGTAGGACAGGAAAAGTCCAGCTGACTTATCAAATCTGGCCCAAGAAAAGAAATAAAGAAATTCATCATAAAGAAATGATGAATTTGGATGTACTGGCAGGGAATCTCTGTGATTGAAAGCAATGATTAGCAATTTCTTAAAATGAAGTCAAGAAGGTAGAAAATCATGAGGGTTAGGGTTAACTGTTTTAATTGTTCTTGCTTGAAATCTATTTCCCATGTGTCCTTTCTAAAAGGGATCAATAATGAGTGACAGGATAAGTGGCTGAACATTCCTCTTTTCTCGCCAGGCCAGGGTCACTCAGAACATTTTTACCAAAATACCACCTTGGTCAAGACTGGTTAAAATCAGTGCAGACCAAGTGTCTGGTGAAGGTTATTTTGCTCAGCATCACATGGGCAGTACAGTTACTTACTGTAGTTATTATGAAGCCAGATTATGTAATTCAAATATCTACATCTGAACAAAGAAAGGGAAAAAGTTACCCTATTTACTGTTTATGAGTAAACCTTAAATGCTTGCACAGAGAACATGGTAAGAGATGACAACAGATAATGATCAACCTGAAGCATGTACCTAAACTGAATGCAGCAGAGAACTGACAACTCTTATCTTAATAGTGGGGCCCAGCCTAAGAAAATTATATCGATAAGCTTAATTGCCTTCTTGTGGTTTCATATTTTTCATAAAATTAGTTTTATTCAATACTACCAGGATGGCCAAAACTCAGGGAGAAAATTAAGGGACACTGTAATTCGATGCTAGATAATCAGGGTGGAGGGCTGCTGAAGAACAGTCATACTGGAATCAAGGTTAACTCTGTTTCTCTCACCACAGATGCTGTCAGACTTGCTGAGTATCTCCAGCATTCTCTGTTTGTTTTTGCAGGGTATTTTGCAGTCTCAAGAGACCCATTGGCCTACTCCTGCTTACTATTCTAATATTAGAAAGTGGGCACTGGGAGAGGGTAGGATCAGGACTTCACTCAGTCAAGATGCCCTCTGTAATGCATCAGTCTATTGACACATATTGTCCAGGCTCACCAAACGAGTCATGGCTACTTGGGTGAATAGTTGGGGACAATGTGGCCATGGAATCAAACTCTTGCAGGAAGCAATATCAAGAGAGGAGGATGAGAGAAAATGAAAGGGAGAGGAATTAATCCCAGAACAAAAAAGAACTACAGACACAAGAGAAGGGTCCTAGTGGCAGCGCTCTATCATTCTAAAACTGCAGCTTTAAGTTTACATTTAGGTAAGTCCATCAGATTAATTCATTTGCCACAATAGGATGAACTTAGGCAGCGTCTACAGAGAAATTCTTCCCTCCCTATCTCAGCTGCTGTTCTACCCTCGAATGGAGGTGACTATTTATTTGAGAGGGAAAAGATGTAGAAATCGAAAGAATAAAATCCTATCGCCTTGTCTCCGGCCAACCCAACATAGTGAGAAACAGGATCCTGACCCGAAACATTGACTTTCCTGCTCCTCTGATGCTGTCTGACCTGCTGTGTTCCTCCAGTTCCACACTGTATCAACTCTGACTTCCAGCATCTGCAGTTCTTGCTATCTCCATATTGAGAAACATGATGCTTTATATTTTGCTACATGTAGATTTTAAAATATATATATTTATATATATCTATGCACTAAGATTCAACATACAATTTGGGCAAACATATTATCTTTTTCTAATTATTGTACGTTGAGAAACTTTCACCTTAATTACATGGTGAGCTCATGTCACCTAGACAACCTGCTTTCCTCTACATCATAGATGACTCCTAGCTGTTTGAGAACTATTTGCTCAATTCAAAAAAAATGGTTATAGAGTAGTTCTATGATCATTCCTGAGGCTTATGGGTGAATGTACTACATTATGCAGTACTAAATCATGAGGTTCCACAAAAGCCTCAAGTTTGACCACTGGTCTGTGTTGAACGTTTGGGTTGTGATGGGAATGCAGCATTGATCTAAATTATTTCTAGGGACTGACAGATTAACAGTCAAGATTCAAGACTATTCAGTGTGGCTTGCTGCAGTGTATATCGCTGATTATCTATAAAGAACCATGTCAGAATCAGTTCTGATAATTTCTCTGATAAAAATCACTTGCTAAGGTGGGGTGATGAATCAAAGGCTGTTTGGTTGAGATGACGGAGGTATTTAGTCCTGTGTTCCTTTAAGACAGTGTTGAGTAGGAGTAGGATAGCTGAGCCTTATTGAAATCAGCTCCGAATTGTCATGTCACCATGTTTTTAAAAAACATCTACTATTTCTCTTTTGCTCTCCTGAAGGTCCTAATTACTTACTGAAATATGGTTTCAGAGGCACTCTCTGCCATTTGGTCCCTGGTCCAAGTAGCCATTCTTCTCCTGAGCTTAGGGTTTGTTGGCAAGATTCAACTTAATCAAATCACAATCAAATCTAGTACTTTCCCTTTGCCTCGTGAGACTCTCACTTCCAGTAAGTTTACCTAAATATCAAATCAGAAGGTATTCACTCCAAAATGACTGACAGCTCCCATCACCATCTTGACAGATTAGTGAACACAGCATGGAACAGGGATTTATGCTAGGACTTTCTTGGTTTACAGGGCTCAATAATCCCTCTGCAAAGCTTGTATTGGACTTGTTGAGCAGATTTGAAACATATTGTTAAAAGAAGGAAGAGTGAATGGTCATAATAATTGAATTAAGAAGGCACGAATGCTGGGAAATCTAAAATTTAAAACAGGATCCTGGAAATACACAGCATCAGCACAGCAACTGCATTGGACCATCATGGTATTTTGGGTGTCATCCTCTGTTAGAACTAAAGAAAAATAAAAGTCTGAGCAGCTCAAATGCCTGCCCACATTCTTGGCCAGAGCAGGGCAGATTAAAATTGAAATAGAAAGAATAAAGTAATAAAAACAATATGGCTTGGTGTTACTTCTAATCATTAGCCACTGATCCATGTTCTGAAGCACACGTCAGGCAGGGACAGGATCAGGCTGGGCTGTGATGCAACATGCGGTCAAATAGCCTGCCAGTATTCAGCCACTGGAAGCTGAAGGTAAAGTTAAACATTCATGACTGAAGGCAATTGATCACAACATATTTTCTCTTTAAACCCTGATTGAAGATGGACAAATAAAAAAGGAAGTTTGTCCACATTAAGCATTCAAAAACATTCTGTTTTGGAACACATTCACAGCTCTACATGCAAGTCTTTATAAATATTATCAACTGCCCACTCTGCAGGACCTTCTTCATTTGTGTATTTGGAAACTGCTTGTTGGAACTGATTTTGACGCTGTGCATCTGGGTCAATGTTGATCCAGTTGTTGGCAATCCATTTGGTTCCTTTGGTGACGACGCAGCCACCGTGCAATGAGTACTCATCTTGCTCACCCACCCAACCTGCAAAAATCAGGAGAAAACAATTACCATCATGTTTTAGAAGTTTCTTGTTCCTGTCCTTGAGGAGTGAAATGTAATCCTCACTGTAGTTGAAAGAAGGTGACTGTCAAAGACATGGAGCTTAAAGTGGACAGTACAGTAGTATCAAGACTGCGCACCTTAGTGTCCTAATTTGGGAATAAACTGACATTAAATAATTGGACCTCAAGGAAAATTCCAGTTCCTTAGGTGGAGCATGCTGAAATAGGCACCAGAAACAGATACAAGAAAGAGGCGGGAGAAAGATAAAAGGCAATATAAAGCAACTAACACAGTTCCACCGTGGCCCTTATCTGCTGTGGTTATGTAACATTGAAACAGAGTTGGGATTAGCAATATTGACTGCTGAGAAAGGGGCCCAAAGAGAACAAAATATTAAAAAGCAACAATTCTGTTATTTATTGTCCCCTGGTCTTCACTGTATCTTTGATCCTCCTGCCTCCTCTCCTTTTTCAGTGGTTTAAAGACTCTAATATTTTCATTTTCTTTCAGATTCTGATGAAAAAAATCACTGACCTGCAGAGTTAACTCTATTTTTCTTTACAGGAGCTGCACAATTTGCTGAAATTTCTAGGTTTACTTTGTTTTCATTGGAACTAAATTCTACTTTTTCCAAATGCTAAGAGCTACCTTTATGTACTCCATTTTATGACAGACCCTAATGAGGTAAAGTAGTGTATATAAAAAAAACAAATAACTTATGATAAAAGACAACAAGGTGCAGGGCTGGATGAACACAGCAGGCCAAGCAGCATCATAGCAGTAGAGAGGCCCCTCCCATTCCTCAGACGACATGTCCATCCTGGGCCTCCTGCAGTGCCACAACGATGCCACCCGAAGGTTGCAGGAACAGCAACTCATATTCTGCTTGGGAACCCTGCAGCCCAATGGTATCAATGTGGATTTCACAAGTTTTAAAATCTCCCCTCCCCCTACCGCATCCCAAAACCAGTCCAGCTCGTCCCTGCCTCCCTAACCTGTTCTTCCTCCCACCTATCCCCTCCTCCCACCTCAAGCCGCACCTCCATCTCCTACCGACCAACCTCATCCCGCCCCCTTGACCTGTCCGTCCTCCCTGGACTGACCTATCCCCTTCCTAACTCCCCACCTACACTCACTTTTACTGGCTCCATCCCCACCTCTTCGACCTGTTTGTTTCCTCTCCACCTATCCTCTCCTCTATCCATCTTCTATCCGCCTCCCACTCTCTCCCTATTTATTTCAGAACCCCCTTCCCCTCCCCCTTTTCTGATGAAGGGTCTAGGCCCGAAACGTCAGCCTCTCTGCTCCTATGATGCTGCTTGGCCTGCTGTGTTCATCCAGCCCTGCACCTTGTTGTCTCGGATTCTCCAGCATCTGCAGTTCCTACTATCATAGACAAACAGGAGGCTGGAAGAACACAGCAAGCCAGGTAGCATCTGGAGGAAAGGAGAAGTCAACCCAAAAGGGTAATACCTGAAACATTGACTTCTCCTTTTCTCCAGATGCTGCCTGGCTTGCTGTGCTCTTCCAGCCTTCTGAATGATAAAACACAGTTTGGTTGTTTTTTTTTTACCCCAGTCCTAACTCAGGGGCACAGTGTTTTTAAATCTAGCCACAACGGGCAGACCAACCATCCATTAGGCAGACTGGAGATTCTCCCAAATTTGTTTTTAATTGATTAGACTGATTTCACTTTACAAGCTACCGTTCCAAAATAATACAACAGTAATCATTCCCTAAGAACTATTTGAATTGCTACTTAGGAAAGGATTTTTTTACATTTTTTACTTTGGTATGTCTTACTTCCTTCTCTTCTAAATATAAACAAATGCATAGCCAGATTGATGTGAGTACCTTCACCATCAGAGAGGTAGTTGTACCAGAAGAGAGCAGTGCCTTGCAAAGGCTTCACCAGCAGGTTGGCTCGGTCACAGTTTCTCCGTGTATCTCGTAAATCCACGTCATTCTGGATTAAAGACTGAGGAAAGAGTCAGAGCAAAGAGCACAGTTCTATTGTTCTTAGAATCCAATATAAATTATCTCCAGTGATTACTCGAGATTGAACTTGCTGTAATACAAATAGTCAACTGCACACTGAACATAATGTTGACAAAAATGTCAGCAATTAATCTTTTACTGGTCGATAGCTGTATTTGTAGTTAGTGCTGCAGTATCAAAGGCTGCCCCCATTTTCCTTGTCCTGAAGTGCAATATTGGGAACTAATGATGCAGTCTAGTTACTTGGGAGCTAACAGCCTGTCAGTACTTCCTCCCACAGCCACTCCTCATGAATACAATTCAACAACTATAGATGATCTTAGTCCTGTCTTAACACAACATCCTAATGTAGACATTTTCCAGAACCGGGTGGCCGGAGTGTGTTCAGATCTGGAGCTACGTGGTTGATAATCTTTTCTTTAACCCAAGAGGCACATAGCATCATCTGAGTGTTTTTGGTTCAGATCTAGATCATCATGAATGGATCTTTCAAATCAGCAGGCAAGCCTAAATAATTATGGGTTTACAACAGGATAAATGATTGGAAATGCCAGCTGTGTTGCAAAGCCACTGTGCTAATTTTACTTTACAAAGTAGTTTGAAAGATTTTTCCTTGACATTTCGATAAAACTACAATTAGTGGGGTAGAGTTTTCACTAGTTTTATCAGCCTAATCTAAGGTGAAACCAGCTAAATTAATGCAATGGACCTCAAATTGATTACATCAAGTGGAATGAGAGTTCCTTTGACCTTTTAATGCTAGTTTAAAAATCAATTCAACCAAATCCAGGACCATTCAAAAAACAACAAAAATCAAAATAATGAGAATGCCAAGTTGCAAGTGCCCAGTCAATAGCCCTTCAAACACTTTTTTTTGGCACCTGGGCAATAGTTGGAACATTTTATAAGTTTTTATACGTTACAAAATACTATATTTACAATGAAAGTGGCTGCACACAAAGTGAAACTAGTGAATGGTTCAGTAGCAATTGAAAAGCCAGTTTTAGCAGTTTAGATTCAGACTGCTTGCATTAAGAGAACTAGACATTCTTAATAAAGATGCTTGTAGTTGGTGATAAATCCATTTTCAGATAAATTAATAAAATTGCATCTGGTTACTTCTCTTAAATACATCAAGAACTTTTTTGAAATAAAAAATCAGTAATCATCAAACTGCTGCTTCCTCGTGGCAACCCCTCCACCAATTGGAGTCCGCTTGCCAACCAGCCACCATGCTCTTCTCTAACAGTAAGAAAACACATTTCCCCATACATTGGTATTGATAAGCACAAGACAAAAAGCTTTTGGCATAATGCAAATTTTTTCAGCAATATTTAAGAAAGATAATGATTTTGTTTTATTATACTATTACAATGCATAAAGGAGCCTGAGCAAAACTGGTCTAATTAGGAATTAGGAGGCAAACTCTCTACTGTTGGAGTCATACCTGGCACACAGAATGGTGGTTGTAGTTGTTGGAAGTCAGACATCTCAGCTCCAGAGCAACTCTGCAGAAGTTCCTCAGGCTAGTGTCCTTGGCCCAAGCATCTTAAGCTGCTTCATCAATTACCTTCCCTCCATCATAAGGTCAGAAGTGTGGATGTTTGCCGATGGTTGCACAATGCTCAGCACCATTCACGAGTCCTCAGATACTGAAGCAGTTCATGTTGAAATGCAGCAAGATCTGGGCAATATCCAGGCCTGGGCTGATGAGCGGCAAGTAACATTTGCACTACACAAATGTCAGGCAATGATCATCTTCAACAAGAGACAATCTATCTACTGCTGCTTGACATTCAATTGCGTTACCATCACTGAATCCCCCACTAACAACACCCTGAGGGTATCATTGACTAGAAACTCAACTGGACTCACCACAGAAACCCAGTAGCTACACGAGCAGATCTGAGACTAGGAATACTACAGCCAGTAACTTACCTCCTGACTCCCCAGAGAATGTCCATCATCTACAAGGCAGAAGTCAGGATTGTGATGAAATATTCCCCACTTTCCTAGATGGTGCAGCTCCAACAAAACTTAAAAAGCTTGACAACATCCATGACAAAGCAGCATGTTTGATTGACACCTCACCCACGAACATCCATTCCCTTCAACCACTGACGCTTAGTAGCAGCAGTGTGTACTGTCTACGAGGTGCACTGCAGAAATTCACCAAAGATCCTCAGGCAACATCTTCCAAACCCATGACCACTCCCATCTAGAGGTTTTTAAGATGCTACTGGCTGATTATCTACTCAGCACACAGTGTTTATGTAACACAATGACTTGTCAACAACGTAAACAAGATTTTTTTCCCTTACCAGTTCATCATACGTTCTATTGTCTGCTACAGGAAAAGCAGTCTCCCCTCCTCCAGAAACATTGTTCAAATAAAACAGCACTGTCACATACCTGGAACAGAAATGAGGTTGAAAATGGAGTAAGGATTAAGGCAGAAGTCAGCAGTTATAGAGAAACATTGAAAATAGGAACAGAAGTAGGTCATTCATCTCTTTGGGCCTTTTCCACTATTCAACATGCTCATGGCTGATAACCTAACTCAGTAGGCGCAAAATATTGCAGATGCTGGAATCTGTACTGAAAACAAAAAATGATGGAAATCACAGGAGGTCAGGCAGCATCCATGGAGAGAGAGCAAGCTAATATTTTGAGTCTAGATGACTCTTCAGAGCTCTGATGCTGCCTGACCCGCTGTGATTTCCAGCATTTTTTGTTTTCCTCTAACTCAGTACCCTGGTCCCGCTTTCTCACCAGATCCTTTGATCCCTTTAGTCCTCTTGAAAACATTCAATGTTTTGGCCTCAACCACTTTCTGTGGCAGGGAACTCTATAGATTCACCACTCTCTGGGTGAAGAAATTTTTCCTTGTCTCAGTCCTGAATGGCTTATCCCATATCCTTAGATTCTGACCCTGATTCCGGACACCCTAGTCCTCAGGAACATCCTTACTGTGGTTACCCTATGTAATCCTGGTAGAACTTTATAGGTTTCTAGGAGAACCCCAAATCATTCTACTAAACGCCAGTGAATATAGTCCTAATCGATCCAGGTTCTCTTCATACATCAGTCCTGCCATCCCAGCATTCAGGGAGGTAAATCTTCATTGCACTCCCTCCATAGCCAGAACATTCTTTCTCAGATAAGGAGGTCAAAACTGTACACAATACTCCAAGTATGGTCTCACCAGGACCCTGTACAATTGCAGCAAGACACCCCTGTTCCTATATTCAAATCCCCTTGCTATAAAAGCTAATTTACCTTTTGTCTTCTCCACTGCCTGCTACACCTGCATGCTTACTTTCAGTGATGGTGTACAGTCTCTTGCAGCTTCCCCATTCCCAATCTTCCACCATTCAGATAATAACCTGTTTTTGCCACCAAAGTGGATAACCTCACATTTATCCACATTACACTTCATCTGCCATGCATTTGTCCACTCTCTTAACTTATCAAATCACAGAAGAATCTCAGCATCCTCCTCAAAGTTCACATTCTCACCCAGCTTATTTCATCTGCAAACATGGTGATATTACATTTAGTTCAATACTTTTAGACTTCCACAATTTCTTGGCAAAAACAAAAAAAGTGCAGTCAACCTAAATTTAAAAGTCTGGAAATTCTCCATAATAGAGAATGATTAGAAAAAATTATTTGCTTCTTCCAACCCCAAGAATGATCATACACTCAGCCTCAGCACCAACTGTGCCTCTGCTCCCAGCTTCGGATCCGTTTGCTGCTAACAGTAGCCAGATTAGTATTCTGCCACCAACTTCAATTTCGGCTTCAGGGATTTTTCACTTTGGTACTGGTGTAAAAATAAGTGATACTGGATCAAATGCCCATCAGACAGTCTGCCGGAACAGTTGTATACAGAGTGGCTAATTTGATTTCCTTCATTGTACAGTCCCAAAGTTAACAGTTCTGAGGTACTTTCCCTCTAACTAGCTTTAATGCTGTCAGACTTTCACTGTGATTGGCAAAGGGACAATGGTATGCTTAATAAACAGCAGAATCTTTGTATGCTCTTGATTAGGACTCAGAAGTGCTTATGAACATACTAAACTTTAATTACAATATATGTTTTTTCTAAAACAAAAGTACATAAAGCCAAAGATTACTACTCATGTAAGTTCAATGGCTGCTTGTAGAGAAACCCTGAATGTCACACCTGGAAATACCAAGGAAGCTTCAAACAGCAACCCTTCAAAAGGGGAGAGGCACATCAAAACAAAGTGGACTGTGAGCTGCTATGACTTCAGTGGCCACTCCTCAGTCACCCAACCTCACTAAAATAGAAAACCACCTCCTGCAGATTATGTCCCAAAGAATAGAAGTGTTTGAGTTTTCCCATTTCAAGAATACAGAAGAATAGGGTTTAAGAATCGATTTCAACTCTGTTGTGTGCACTAATGGGTGAAGGTATGTGCTGTAAGGTACACAACTGAGAAAACCTAGTTACCCCTGCACTGCAGGTAAAGAGAAAGGAAGTCTCTCTCTCTCTGTGTTTGAAGCCAGAAAGAAAGTGAAATCATAGAAAAAAAGGAAACAGGACAAAAGTCTTTCAGCTGTCCTGCAAAGTCAAAAATCTCCATATCAACTGCTTGCTCACGATTATCTGAGCTACATCATCCAACATACTGGCGGCAACATCCCATCATCTATCCATCAGATCTGATAGACTGAATTGTAACTTGTTTAAAACTTTTATCTTTGCTTTGAACTCACTAACTACTTTAAATCTGTGTATGTGTGATGAATTTTTGTTTCGACTCATATTTAGCAACTAATAAACTCAATTTTAACTAATGAACTCACTCAGTTTATCAACTCAAAAAAGCCTAGTTTAATTGGTTCCATTTAAAAAATATAAATCTGGATTGGAACAAAGACATCCATAAGGGAAGGGGTCCTTTTAAATTAAACTTGTTACGGTCAACTACAGGGGCAGATGAATAAAGAAAGGGAGCCAGTACATTCCTCCCTCATCCCAAGCTTGAGGATTTGCGATATTCTATCAGGAGCTGCAATAAATTGGGGCACCTCATATGGGACTGTTTATAAGCAATGTCAATCATAATAACAATACTAATATTTCTGAAGAAAGGTCAACGGACCCAAAACGTTGACTCTGCGTTCCCTCCACAGATGCTGCCAGACCTACTGAGTTTCTCCAGCAATTTCTTCTTTTGTTTTTGATTTCCAGGATCTGTAGTTCTTTGCGTTTTGTACAACTACCAGTTGATCTAAAGCGTGCTGTTGGCCAAGCATTCATTCTTGATTTTGCACTCCGTCAGTACATCTTGATTCTTATTGATCTTCCACTGAAATCTTCCATTTCATTTTGATCAATGATAATCTCCTACAGCTACCCACATTCTCAGAATTCCTTTAACAAACAGTTTAAACCTTTCAAAAAAAAGAACAAAGCATTTATTTGTTCGAATTTGTTACTAACCGACAGGAAGTTTCTAATGGAGTGGATCCATTTGCTACCAGTTTTGTGTGGAAGCAACTGGTCTCTGCGTAGATTGGTCCACTGTCATGGTGAGCATGATAGTGCCCTCCTTGATCATACTTCACCACCTGCAATGGTTCACTATGCTCTACTATCTCAGGAGGTAACTTTGTCAATCTGATCACCCTGACAAGAGAAAATATTTAAAAATTATATAGTTGTTATGAGTACTGAGCTTTACAAAACATTATCTTGCAAAATGCATCCTTTAACTTAATGGAAGATTGGGAATCCCTGAAGCACCACAACTCAAAACTATGCTCACATGGTCTGGTGGCCATGGGAAAGCAGCTCAAGCAAAAGCTTATTAAAATCAAGTGACCAGTTTCTACTTCTTTTTACAGAAATTCTCAGAAAAACGGTACAATATTCCTTGACATACAGACGGAGCAGGGAAGGACTATTTTGGGTTATCAGACAACAGAGATGCTTTGACAGTTGGTTTTATGTTTGAAAGGAAGGTGACAAAACAGCTAGAACTTTTGAAGCTATAGAGAACAAGGAACTGCCAAAGTGGGCCATGCAGCAGAAGTTGAAGGTCATATCAAGTTTTCTTGACAGGAAGAACTGAGACTGCAGGAAAGCCACAAGTAACTTTGGATTTGTTCCTGTAAATCTACGTATCCTTCAGAACTGTGCACATCAAAAGGGGTTTTAAGATGCTTTCCGATTGTATTAGTTAATTAATGGTAATGTGTCTTTTTAGTTTGATTTGTTTGTTTCCTATTAATTTAGGTTTGATCTCTATGTTGATTTTAATTTGTTTATTTACAGAAAAATTTTAAAACATCAAAATCTTGCCTTTTGGTTATTTTGATTGGTCATTTGGGAAATTATTAATTAGAATTTTATTCATTTTTATGCTTTCTTTTCTGAAAAACAGAATGCATGTAGTGATTATCAATCCACAGCCAAAGCAATCATTCTTAATGAAAGAATTTGGGCAGAGTACCAGCAATCCACCTCAATCAAACATAGAACTCTCTACATCCAATGTGTATTTTCTGGAGGACTGGTTAGTGATCATGACTGGAAACCTTAACCGACTTTACTCTTTCTTTGCTCAGAGATTTGCAAATGAATTTCAGTGCTGATCTGATTGAAGTGTTTTTAAGATGGTTGCAAGATGTGATTAAATCAATTACAATTAGAGCAAATGGCTGAACTAAAGCTAAAAACCTCCTGATATGTATGGCTCTGCATCACACCACTCAAGCACTAAATCCATGGTAATCAACCACTCCACTGAAGTGGGATATTTTGATCAATCAGTTAATGAAGCTGGATTAAATTAAAGGACTTAAAGCACTACAACTGGCATTAGGACCTCAGGACTAGGAGAAAAAATTGGCGGGGGCAGAAACAAAGCATTTAGAGGGAATCCGAGATATTATGTAGTACCAGAAGGTATAAGGTCAGCTGAAAGGAATGCCTGCAAAATTAGGTGAGGAGATCAGAAAATTGCTGAAGACCTTATGTTGCTAAAGTGATTCATCTTGCACTCATCAAGACAAATGCAAGAACGCCTCATCTCAACTGATAACAGCTATTTACACTTCAGAAAAGCAGGATGCTAACAGACAGGTGAGTCAACTCTGATTGGCCAAAATGATGTCATGGAAAACACAAGCTCCTACAGTAATTCAGAAAGGTTCAAGGCATGGACATATTTCTGTTTGCAGACAATGGGCCCCTGCGTGAGGATGTTTATCACTTCTAACACGAGCCATGTTACTAGCCTGGCTGATTTTTACCTGGTCTAAATCAAATTATTCTGAAAATGCAAACTATCTCAAAAATTTGAATAACAGTGAGAGGACTGCACAACTATCACTGATGGTGCTCAACAATGATACTTTGGAACAGTTACTTCCCACACCACTTTTAACTAATTGAACACTTTATTCAGGGAAAGTAACCCAATTCTATTTGCATGTCAAAACAATTACGTATAATCTCCATGTGCCATAGTGTAAGCAAATGATTGGATAATTACTTTGCATAACCATAGGCTCCCTTCCAACTGCATTCACATTTACTCAGGTCTTAATGCTAAGAACGTGACTTCAATTCATGTTTCATTATCAATGGAGCTATGATGGGAGAACATGGTTGCATTTGCAAAGTTCTGAATTGGGAGCCTAACACTAATTTCTCATTACTGGATAATTTTCTCTGCAGGAAATTGTGTAATGTATCAGGGCTGCTCATATCTTTCCAATTTACTGTGCAGCGTAGACAAACAAAAGCTCTGAGGTGTTAACCTGCAATTCTACGGTTGCTTTCCAATCACTTTGTGACAAGTTCCTGGTATTGAATCTATCATCATGGGGAGAAGACAAATACAAATTAGCAAAAGGAAAATCCACGCTGCTCTAGTCATAAGGGCATTTTCTTACATTCATATTAGCCAAGAGAAACATCTGAACTTGAGTAACTATTGCTGAAGGTAAGGGCCACCAGACCTTTAACTACTCTGGCAACAATGCCATGGAACACTAGCAACAGCACACTACTGAAAACGATTTCAGTAAATCCAACTTTGGAATTACAAATTGGTTCCGTGATCTGGAATTTGTTTAAGGACAACCAAAGTAAATATATTGTTTTAAAAAATCAATTGTAATTAAATTACTGGCTTGCATATCACCCCTGTTAAAACAGAAACCTTGGCAAAGACAGAACTTCAATATATCTTTCTTTGTTTCATTTGAAAGCTCACCTATGTCGAATAGTTCTTAAGATCTGGTGTGCTCCTTCACCCTGATACAGCCACGTATGTTTGCTGTTGCGAACCAATTCGGACTTCTGCACCCCACGTTGTCGCAGGTATGTTTGAAAAGCATTTGTGTTAAGTTGTTTAAATTCCTCCAAGCTCAGCAAACCTGAAAAGAAAATCATTTTTATTTCTTCCCACTGTCTAACCTGAATTTTTTTCCCCTTTTCTCTTGAAGGCACGACTTCTTGCTGAAATACAGTTAAATAGGATCATTCAGTCTTTAAGCCTGAACCATTATCCAAGTCATGACACATGTGGCTCTGAAGTCAATTGTAATCAAGCGAAAATACACCACTAGTTGCAGTCATACCTAGCATAAAGGAAATGGTTGAAGTTGTTCGAGGTTAACCATTTAAGCTCCCAGCTGCTTCAAAGACCTTCACTTGAACATGTCCTAAGTTGTGATGTTCACTGATGATTGCATAGTGGCCAGTACTATTTTCAATTCCCCAGTTACTGAAGTATGGCTGTGCCTGCACACAGGAAGACCTGGATAATACTCAGTCTTGGGTTGATATGTACCAAGTAACTTTTACATGACAATTACCCAGTGATAGCCATTACCAACAGTAGAGAATCTAACCATCTCTTCCTGACATTCAAGGCATTTGCAATGCTGAATTTCCCCAACATCAACATCATGTGAATTATTACTGATCTGAAACTTAACTGGGTCAACCGTATAAATGCTATGGCCACAAGAGCAGATCAGAGGTGGAAATTCTGGAATGGATACCTGATCCTCTGAATTCCAGGGATATCTAGAACGCATAAGTCAGAAGTGTGATGAAATATTCTCCACTTGCCTGGAAAAGGCGATCTCCAACAACCCCCTTGAATCACAACCATTTAGGATAAAGCAAGCTCTGATCTGCTTGATCAAAACCCATTCACCAACTAAAACATTCATTTCTTCTACCTCCTGTGCTCAATGGAACCAGTGGGTACCATCTTCAGGGTGCATTATAGCTGCTTGTCAAGGCTAATTTAACAGCACCTTCCAAACGTGCAGCTTCCACTGCCTCGAACAACGAGGATAGCAGATGCAAAAAACACCACCACCTACAGTTCCCTCCAAATCACAGAAAAATCCAGATTTGGAACAATATTGCTTTTCCTTCACTGTCACAGAGTCAAATTCCTGAAATTCCTACCCAACAGCATTTTAAGTCTATCGATGCCACATGGACTGCACTGCTTCAAGAAGGAGCCTCACCACCACCTCCTTAAGGCCAATTAGCAATCGACACTAAATACTGGCCTTGCATCCTGAGAACAATTTTAAAATCAAAATTGTCTATGTATCATATCCTTTCAATGCCCTTAGCTAAAAAATAGTCTGTAAATGAAGAATTTTCATTAATGCAGTGCTTTTCACCATCTCTGGACAATCCAAACTACTTTACCTTCAATTAAATAATATTGCAATATAATCATTGGTGTGATGTGGAAAACAGGGCAATCAAGTTGTTTGCATCAACACCCCACAAAAAGCAATGAGAACAATGAAAACAAGTTTAGTTAGGTATCAGTATTAATCAGGATACCAGGAAGAGGCCAACCACTCTTCTGCGAATAGTTCCTTGGAATCCTTTACGCCACCCAAGACAGGAGACTTAGTTTAACATCTCACTTGAAAGACAATCTTCTAAAGAAAAGGTTGAAGAATCGTGTGCTCAAACCTCTGGAGCATTGAAAGTCTTAAAGGTTCCAATGTTGACAGACTTCCCAGACCTCACCTGAGTAACCATTTTTTAATGCACTCATGCACCATGGGTGTCACTGGCTGGGCTAGCATTTATTGCCCATTCCTAGTTGCCCTTGAGAAGGTGGTGAGGAGTTGCCTTCTTGAACCGTTGCAGTACACATGCTGTAGGTTAACCCACATAGGCCTTAGGGAGGGAATTCCAGGATATTGACCCAGCAACACTGAAGGGATGGTGATATATTTCCAAGTCAGGATAGTGAATGGCTTAGAGGAGAGTATGCAGGTGGTGGGGTTCCCATGTATCTGTTGCCCTTATAGATGGAAGTATTCGTGGATTTAGAAGGTGCTGGCTAAAGGTCTTTGGTGAATTTCTGCAGTGCATCTTGCAGATATGTACACACTGCTGCTACTGAGCGTCAGTAGTGGTGGGAGTGCATACTCATTGATATGGTGCCCATCAAGCAGGCTGATTTGTCCATTCTTCCGATAACAGGCTAGACAGTGAGTGTCTGAAAGCTAGAGTACAGAAAGGGACATTGCACTTCAGATAAATCCTGTTTACTCCAACATGTGTTCTGACAAGGGTTTACTGCTTGAAATCAATGGAATTAGCTATTTTTCTATCATAGCTCAAGGAATACAGTCCCATTCTGTCCTGAGCTGCATTATCCCAGCTTGGGCTGGCCACGTGCCCAGTTTAATGGTTCGACAGCACTCATTCCTTATGAGCGCAGGGTGAAAAACAGAAAGGTAAAGCATGTTTTCAGAACTGCACCTCAGTACAAGTTGCTCTTTAAGCAAAGAGAAAAATTGTATCATAGTGAAGAGGGAAAGGAAGATATATGTCAAAAATAGAAAGATTAGAAATATCTTCCCTGTAAATTGTAACAAGACAAAAAAAAGGTAATCAGAGGCTAATTGTCTGAAACCCAGCAGGTAAGAAGTCATTGCATGGATTAGGGCAAACTAGCAGTAGGAAGTACGCCCTCCCTCAGAGAAAAGAAAAGTAGACGTGCAAAATGCCATAATGGATGTACTACCCCCTGTGGTTTTAACTCATTATGGGGGCTTAAAACTTAATGTACACCATCAATTCCACCTAATACCTTCTTTACATTATCTATCCTCATGACTATTCAGCTGAGGTGAGGATGATTAGCACTGAATAGAAACGCTGGTTTTCAGACTCTTCTGTGTAGCAGACCCCCCGCAAACATTGGCACTAAACCAAGGACCTCCATCCTAGCTTCCAAAAAAGCTATCCAAAGAAAAAGAAACAGAGCTGAAAACACTTTTATTAATGTGTAGACAGAAAACAAGTCAAAAAATACAGGAAGAAATATAAAAATCTAATAACAGGTGAAGTCAAATCAAACGATTTCGGGAGATTCAACGAAAACAACAGATTCCTCTTGAGGACCTCATGAGAGTGTGGGTACCCTGGATCTAAGTCAATATTTGCCAAATCACATCATACAAAAATCAGCTATAAAAAGATTTGATGAGATTCCATGCTTATGGGAGTTGTCAAGGTATATAATGCTGTTGACATATGCACAGTACCTCTGCGCCTGTACTTCTGATGTTATGAACAGCAGACAATATTCCCTTGGATAATGCCAGCTAATGCCAAGTTTCTAATTAAAAAGCAAAAGCACAGACGTAAAAAGCCCACACCTCTGCACTCCCAGCAAGGATGAGAATCAGGACAGTATATGTAAGTAGGTGCTGGAAAGGAACAGGAATCTTGCAGAGACCTTGCATATGTCCTGGAACCACGTTTGAGACCCCAGCTGATGAAGATGAACACTATTTAAGTGCTTTGGTTTTACTATTTTGTGCCTCAAAATGGCACCAGATTGTGACGACAGAACACTTTTTATTGTATCTCCTTAGATATAGGTGACTATTGTTTTTGAAGAATATTCCCCAGAAGATTCTAGCTTTTCATTTCCAAAGCTCAATTTTGACTACAGCTTGCTTTAGTCTGCCCAAACAGTGTACTTTAGACTTTTCATATGAACAGGAAGCCTTGCATTGATTTCAACTTTGATTATGTATTCCCTTCTGAAATACCAGCCTACATTTCATTTTTAGATCCCGCTGTTGCAATTTCTGTTTCGGATTTCCAGTTTTCTTTTCACCTCTAAGAAAGGCAGAGACCATGGAGTAAGTTACTTTTTCTCATGAAATGGTTCATAGCGTGGAACAAAACTATGAAATAAATACTTTAGTACTTTACAACACAATGTCTATTCAAAAGCTGGGCCATCTGCACCAATTGTTCTAGAATAAATGTTGAAATACACAAAATGGAAAGTCTGGAGAATACCAGTTCAGGCTATACAAAATCATACCTCTTCACATAGAGCTGATGTGGGAAAGGAGTGGGTGAAAATGTTTGAAATGAGGCAGTGAAATTTCTTGACTGGTTGTTTACATCTAAAATTGCATCCGCTCTTGTCAGAGTTTTCTCCGCTGAATAATGCAAATAGAAAATTTGCAAGAGCAGTTGTATTCCATTGACAATAGGGTCATTCTCTAGTACCAGCAATGCAGGAGTACCAGGATCTATTGTGATCCTAATCAACAACCTCCTTTAGTTTTACATCCGCAATTAGTGAATGGAGATGACAGAATCAATTTATGAATCGGTCTTTCTGTATGAACGAAGTAGCATGATAACTTCCTGATTACATGTGAGTGTGTAACATAGCCCAAAATCAAAGGGAGTAAATCTAATAACTGGTAAAACTGTAAAAAGAGTCCATTGTGATATAACTGTCTTATTTAGACTAGCTAAACATTACTTCATCAAAGAAACATCACGAAGGCTTTGATACATTATCCAATCCACCAAGTACCTTTCACTAACCAAAATCTCGTCTTCAGCCCCCACCTTAGTTTTCCGTTCTTCATTTATCCCTCTTTTCTTCCCCTCGTGTGTCCATTCCTGCAATTTTTCTGTTTTTTTGTTTGTTTTTGGAATGTTGGTAAAATTGGCAAGGATACTTTTATGGCTTATCCCTCATTGCTTGCACAACTGACCGCCTCTTAATGCAAGTCAAATAATGTAAGCCAATCCAGGCCAGGTAGAGGTGGCAGGTTCAATGCTCTATAGACAATAATGAGCTAGTTGTGTTTGTACAATCCTCCATAGCTATTATGGTCATTCTGGTACAAATCTACAAATTATTGAATACTATTTTATAATTTATCATGGTGGGATTTATTAAACACACATTCTCAAAATGACTGGTATGATATCATAACAATACACAATTGTATCCAATCATAGTCCACTTACTTATGTGCGAATTTAGAATATGTATGTGGTCTTTTGAATGTTCAGGGTAACACACATGCATGCAATTTCCAGCAAGGTTCACAGTCCAGTTCGCAAGATGACATTCTCTGACTGAACATCCTCTCTTGATCCTGAATCCACATTGGGCAGCTGCAACTTTTGTGAAATCAGCTAACTTGGAAGAGGTTGAGCACCCAACTTGGGAACTTCCCAGTCTGTATTTCCCAGCTTCCCCACTGAGTTGCTGAATTGTCTGGGAAGCATAAAGGGCTAAAATCTAAGAATCCAATGAAGACGAATTCCTTGAATGTCTGTTTTCACATTGGTTTTAAGCATATCATAAGATTACCAGATTATATTACTCATCTCATATAATGTGTAGCAATTTTATGATATCATTAAATCTTAAAAATCATAACTCCACCTTCTCTTAAAAAGGATTCAACTCCTTCCCAATTCTTTCCCCAATTAACTTAAGTCTGTATCCTCTGTTTATTGATTCCCTATCAGTGGAAACAGTTTCTCTCTATCAACACTTATAAAAACTTTTCATAATTCATCATTTTGAATGCTACCTTTAAATCTCCTCTTAACCTTATCTACTCAAAGCTTCTCTAGTCTTTCCGCCTGATTAAAGATTTCTCACCATTTCCATCAGGGTCAGCCTCAAGACCCGTGTAGATTTCTCGAATATTTTCAGGAGTAATCCAGACTCCATCGCCGAAACGTGTATGGGTCAAGACCTGTTATTAAAAATAAAGCCATTATTCAAAAACAGTTATTAGCATGCCATACAATACTACACAATCAGGCAAACAAAAAAGATTTAGAGGGTGTGGAATATAAATCTGGTGAGGGTTCGACAGGGTAACCTACTGTGAAATACTACGCTTTCCAGCTGTAAGACATGAAATTAGTAGAAGTTAATTTTTTTCAAACTTCAAACTAACTTCCAGTCTTGTATCTGATGTTTTCATGTCCAGTTGCAGTGTCATTGTGCATCTCTGTCAACCACAAAACAAAAGGAATAATAGCTCCAAATCACTAGAAAGCTCCATTTCTATCTGTCCCAATTTTCCTGTGACTTCGTGCTGAGTTTCCCTCTTGCTCTTACTCAGAGTTAATGGGAGCTCTACTTCAGCTTAGAAGGCATTCTCAGAATAAAGACAGAATAACAAATCCCCCCCACCAATGGCATTGTGGGTGTACCAATACCAGATGGATTGAAGCAGTTCAAGAAGGCAGCTCAATATCACCTTCTCAATGGCAACTAGGAATGGACAATAATGATGCCATGAATGAATACAAAAGAAGTGAAAGAAACCATACACTTTAATGGAGGATAGAGACTGTTCTGTGGAGACAGTAGACTAAGTACTAGCAATCCCTTTGGTATCAATGGTAGAATCTGAAGCAGATAAACATTTGAAAGACAATATAAACTTGAAAATGCTAAGGGTACAGAATCTAACATAAGGGAAATAAGTTTAAATTGGTATTGACCAGCAGTAATTGATGTTAAAATAGCTAAAGGCAGTCTTTGTACTTATTCCTATTTCATATTCCACAGCAACTTGTAACTATGCAACATCTTTATCATAAGAAAATATAGATAAGACAGTTTCATAAAGAGGTAACAAAGATATATAGGTCAGACAGATAGAGGTTTTGGAAGAAAATTAGGGACCTTGGGCCCAGGCAGCTGAAGACACAGACATTAAAGACATAGAATAAGGATAGGGGTCCGGAAGAGGTTCTTATTTTCAGCAAACAGTTAATTACTTCAAAAATACTTTCCGTTCATATCAAGGTTAGATAAAGAGGGCAGACTTTCAGCTTGTTTCTGACAGCAATAAGTGGTCAGGAATCAAATTAGCTTTTGTTGGAAGTAAGAAAGCTTGCTGCAATAACAGAGCTTTGGTTAAAAGAAAACTCGCCTTCAGAAGTGAAATGAAGGCTCACTGAATTGATTTCCAGGATGAAAGGTCATGTCTCACCAACCTAATTGCATTTTTTGAAGAGGTAACAAAGATAATCGATGAAGGAAGTGCTATGGATGTAGTTTATATGGACTTTAGTAAGGCATTTAATAAAATCCCACATGGCAGATTAGTACAAAAACTAAAATCATTTGGGGTGGGCAATACAACACTGGCTTGGGTCATAGAAGACAGAGGGTAGCCGTGGAAGGGTGTTGTTCAGAATGGAGACCAGTAACTAATGGTGTTCAACTAGTTCACAGGGATCAGTCTTTGGTCCTCTGTTGTTTGTAGTATATATAAACGATCTGGAGGAAAATGTGGGTGGTCTGATTAGTAAGTTTGCAGATGACACGAAGATTGGTGAAGTTGCTGATAGTGCTAACGATTGTGAAAGGATACAACAGGATATGGATAGATTGGTGACTTGGGCACAGAAGTGGCAGATGGAGTTTTATCCAGACAAATACGAAGTGATGCATTTTGCAGGATCAAATTTAGGTGTGAATTATCCAGTAAATGGCAGAACCCCCTTAGGAAGATTTACGTACAGACGGATCTGGGCGTGCAAGTCAACAGTTCCCTTGAAATGGCAACACAGGTGGCCAAGGTGATTAAGAAGGCATGTGGCACGCCTCCCTTCATCGGCCGGGGCATGGAGTACAAGAGTTGGCAAACCATGTTGCATCTATATAAGAGATAGTAAGAACTGCCGATGCTGGAGTCAGAGATAACAGTGTGGAGCTGGAGGAGCACAGCAGGCCAGGCAGCATCAGAGGAGCAGGAAAGTTGATGTTTCGGGCTGGAACCATTCTTCAGAAATGGCAGAGGGGGAAGGGAGCTCCAAAATAAATAGACAGGAAGGGTGGGGCTGGGGAAGGTAGGTGGGATGGTGATAGGTGAGTGCAGGTAGGCAGTGGTGGGGATTGGTCAGTGAGGTGGGAGGAGCAGATAGGTGGGAGAGAAGGTGGACAGGTTGCGTCAGGTCAAGGAGGCGTGGATGAGAGGGAGGGTTGGTCATGGATGAGGCCGGAGGTGGGGAGATTTTGAAACTGGTAAAGTCCACATTAAGACCATTGGGTTGTAGGCTCCCAAAGCGGAATATGAGGTGCTGCTCCTCCAGTTTCCGGGTGGCATCATCACCGGAGAAGGCACAGGATGGACATGCCGCCCAGGGAGTGGGAGGGGGAGTTGAAATGGTTCGCAACTGAAAGCTGTTGTCGTTTTTCATGAGCAGGGCGCAGGTGCTCTAAAAAGCAGTCTCTGAACCTCCGCTTGGTCTCACCGATGTAGAGGAGGCCACATCGGGAGCAGCGGATGCAATAGACCATATTGCCGGATGTGCAGGTGAACCTCTCTCTGATGTGAAAGGTTTGTTTAGTGCCTTGGATGGAGGTGAGGGGGGAGGTGTAGGGACAGGTGTAGCATTTCCTGCGGATGCAGGGAAAGGTGCCAGGGGTGATGGGGCTAGTGGGGAGTGAGGAGCAGACGAGGGAGTTGTGAAGAGAGCGGTCCCTACAGAAGGCAGATAGGGGTGGGGAGGGAAATATATCTTTGGTTGTTGGGTCGGATTGCAGGTGGCGGAAGTGACAGAGAATGATACATTGAATACGGAGGTTAGTGGGGTGATATGTGAGGACACGGGGGATTCTGTCTTCGTTTTTGTTGTAGGGAGGGGATGTGAGGGCAGACGTGTGGGAAACGCAAGAGATACCTAGACTACACCTCCTCTCACCCACCTTCCTACAAGAATGCGATCCCCTACTCCCAATTTCTCCACCTCTGCCGCATCTGCTCCCAAGGTGGGGCATTCCACTCCCCAACATCCCAAATGTTCTCTTATTTCAAGGACTGCAACTTCCCCCGTTCGGTAGTCGAAAATGCTCTCGACCGCATCTCTTGTACTTCCTCATATTCCGCCTTGTGAGCCTACAACCCAGTGGTCTCAATGTAGACTTTACCAGTTTCAAAATCTCCCTACCCCCGGCCTCATCCCATGCCCAGCCCTCCCTCTCATCCACACCTCCTTGACCTGACACAACCTGTCCATCTTCTCTCCCACCTATCTGCTCCTTCCACCTCACTGACCAATCCCCACCACTGCCTACCTGCACTCACCTATCACCATCCCACCTACTTCCCCAGCCCCACCCCTCCTCTCTCTATTTATTTTGGTGCTCCCTTCCCCCTCTGCCATTTCTGAAGGAGGGTCCCGGCCCAAAACATCAATTTTCCTGCTCCTTTGATGCTGCCTGGCCTGCTGTGCTCCTCCAGCTCCACACTGTTATCTTGCGGCAACATAAAATGCTTATTAGGCCGCATTTGGATTATTGTGCACAGTTTTGGTCGTCACACCACCAGAAGGACATGGAAGCTTTAGAGAGAGTGCAGCAAAGGTTCACCAGGATGTTGCTTGGCCGTGAGGGCACTGGCTTTGAGGAAAGGTTAAAAAGACTAGGATTGATTTCACTGGAAAGACAGCAGCTGAGGGGAAACCTGATTGAAGTCTACAATATTATGAGAGGCATAGATAGGGTGAATAGTCTGAGGCTTTTTCCCAGGGTTGAAGTTTCAACTACAAGGGGACACAGGTTCAAAACAAGAGGGGGATGGTTTAAGGGTGGTGTGCGAGGGAAGTTTTTCATGCAGAGAGTGGTAGGAGCCTGGAGCACACTGCCAGAAAGGTGGTGGAAGCAGGCATGTTGGCAATATTTAAGAGGCATCTGGAAGGTTACATGAATAGGGATGCAATAGAGGAACACAGACCAAATAAGGGCAGAATATTTGTTTATTAGCTTAGTTAGGGCATGATGATTGGCACAGGCTTGGAGGGCTGAAGGGCCTGTTCCTATGCTGTACTTCTCTTTTGTTCCTTTAAAAAAGGAACTGAGCAGACTGAATCTATACCCTCTAGAGTTTAACAATAAGAGGTGATCTCATTGAAACACAAATTTCTTAAGAGAATTTGACATGGTCGATGCTGAGAGGCTGTTTCCCCTGGCTAGAACTAGGGACTATGTTGCAGGATGGTCAAGATTATAGGGATAGGATGGGAATGTGATGTTGAGTTACAAATTCAGCTATGCTTTGTCTAAATGGCAGAACAGACACAAGTGGACCAAGTGTTGATCCTGTTTTTTAACGTTCTTATCTGGAAAGAATTAATGAAACTGACACAAAGTCCAGGGAATTTTGAGAGAAAATGAATTATACACCAAGACATATTTGTTTTTTCCACAGGGTCAAGCTTCAATTCACCCTAAACCAGGTCCAACCACAAAGATTTCACCAGCTGTTTTAGTGTGTGAGGTAGCTCTCACGTTCTCTGGTGCACAAATACTAACTTGCACATTTGATAAGCTTCTCATATCAAGGAACATTTAACTTTCTAATAAACTGACTAGCTTTTGCTGATGAAATTATTAAATGGGTCAGTATACTTTTTCATGAAAAAAAGCTATTTCCAGTAATTTTAAAATCATGTTGCTCACAGCTATGGATAGCAGCAGTTCAAGAGTTGGCTCTCCACCTTGTTCTGGAGGACAATTAGGGATTGACAATAAATGGTCGTCTTGCCAATGACACTTGCATACAAAGAACTAATAAAAGCCAAAGGTTTGGACATCTTTTGTTAAAAATATCTACTTTTGGTGATAAACTTGCTTTTCATTGCATTAACAAAACTATGTCAGGTTGCCATTTTTAAATACATCAACAAATTGAAAGGAAGAGAAAAGAATTCTATTATGGTTCCAACTTGTATTAGCTTAAAGGAGGTTTTAGTTTTGTGATTAGGTAAATAGATTTTAGTAGAATTTTGAATGGTAACCTAACACCCAACATGCTTTGGGCCCAAGATCTCAATTTCTTCTGAATCAGAAATTCTAGCGCAAGATGTATAATCCAAGCATTGTGGCTTTTCCCAGCCAATTTATCATAATCAATAACAGCTGCTTCAGAATTTAAGGACTCTCCCTTTGACAAAATTATACAGTTTTAAAATATATTCCTAATATTTATACTACTCCCCTTACCCCACTGACTTGGTCAAGAGGAGATGCTATAAGTTGAACCATGTAGTTTGCAATCACTGATATCATTCTGTGCAATAATTCAACCAATAGGAAGTTAGTATTACCTATGCAAGATCTACATGTCTAATTTGGAAGTTTCAAATACTTTGACTTGTCATAACAAATATTACATTGTTGCATCATAGACTTTTTTCAAAGTAGCTAGTGCAAGTGTAAAAAGTCTCCTGTGTGCATTTGTTACAAAATTTCCATTAAAACAGGTTTGACTACTGCTTCAACAGGCTTAAATGACAAGCTTACTTTGAGGTCCATGGGATAAGACAATAAGATGAACAGACATAGGAGCAGAAATTAGGCCATTCAGCCCATCGAGTCTGCTCTGCCATTCAATCATGGTTGATAAGTTTCTCAACCCCATTCTCCCGCTTTCTCCCCATAACTCTTGATCCTCTTGACAATCAAGAACCTATCTATCTCCGTCTTAAATATATTCAATGACCTGGCCTCCACAGCCTTCTGTGGCAGTGAATTCCACAGATTCACCACTCTCTGGTGAAGAAGTTTCTCCTTATCTCTGTTCACAAAAGTCTTCCTTTTACTCTAAAGCTGTGCTCTCGGATCCTAGTCTCTCCTGCAAATTGAAACATCTTTCCAACATCCACTCTGTCCAACCATTCAGTATTCTGTAAGTTTCAATTAGATCCCCCTCATCCTTCTAAACTCCATCTCGTATAGACCGAGAGTCCTCAAACGTGCCTCCAATGTTAAACTTTTCATTCCTGGGACTGTTCTCGTGAACCTCCACTGAACCCACGCCAGGTCCAGTATATCATTCCTGAGATATGGGGTCCGAAACTGTGCACAATATTCCAAATGTAGCTTGATCAGAGCTTTATAGAGCCTCAGAAGTACATTCCTGCTTTTATATTCAAGTCCTCTCAAAATAAATGCCACATTGCATTTGTCTTCCTAGATACTGATTCAACCTGCAAGTTTACCTTGAGAGAATCCTGGACCAGAACTCCCAAGTCTTTTTGACTTCAGCTTTCTGAATTTTCTCCCCCTTTAGAAAATAGTCCATGTCTCTATTCTTCTTACCAAAGTGCATTACCTCACACTTTCCCACATCATACTCCATCTGCCACTTCTTTGCCCACTCTCCTAACCTGTCCAAATCCTTCTGCAGCTTCCCCTCCTCCTCAATACTACCTGTCCCTCCACCTATCTTTGTATCGTCTGCAACCTTAGGATGTGATATGGAAAATGGAAAATATGAAAATCATTGGTAAGGAATTCTCTTGTGGGATTTAGATAGTGCGAGAGCTTTACCTTTTACAATATTGATTAAGTACACGATCCGGGAGCACATTATATTCATTCAACTATCCTTCAGACTGTTATCCATATGTTGAATTAGGCAATAAAAAAACCCAGAGTTTCCACCTTTTCTTGTTCAGAAGCCAACATCCAACTGGAGAATAACCCATCTCTATCTTATCTTGGAAAAACCCACCACCATATCATCCAATAATCTAATTAAAATAATCCAGCTCTTTTTTTTTTCAATTTTTCCATTCAACTGTTATATTATACGCTGATGGAGCAGGTGGAATTTGAACCCTGGTCTCCTGGTTCAGAGGTAGGGATACTATTACTGCGTATCAATAACCGTCAAGAATCCAGCTTTGTTTTTCATATCCTGAAGTGCTCTTGTTCGCAACCAAATGTTTTTCTTTTCCCATCACCAAATCACATGGTATTTTTATATCCATTAGCCACCCCAGTAAATAAAAAAAACAGCTTTTTTTTTGATGACCAAATTCATGCTTCTTAAAAATATTTTCTAATCAACCTGTTCAGGGATGTTACTACACACCTCTGGAACAGGTCTCCCGGTTCTGGCGTAGGGATACTACCATCATGCCACAAGAGGGCTGCTAAAAGAACGCAGCTCTGAAAAACAAGTTGGCTGAGCATCATTTGCTCCAATCAACTCCAGCTCTGATTTACCCTTAAGAGAATTTGCGTAACTAACATTGACAATGCTGACCCTGACTACTCCCAGCATAAGATGTCTGCAATGTGACAATCAAAAATTTATTGATTGCTTGGAGCCGTAAATTATTTTAAAAGCTGTGACACCTATAGAACAATGTGGTATCTTCCTTAAGTAACATTAAATACCTCTTTCATTTGTAGCTGTCCATCCTGATTGTAGTCAAGTAAGTTGAAAATTTCCTCCTTGCTGATATCCATCTCATCAATGGCCTCCTGTTGAATGTCAGATGGCGTAATCTGGCTCTCTTGGAGACCCTTCAACTTTGCTAGATGTATGACGAGTTTGCATTCCTCCTCTGAAAGGAAGTTAGCAATTTCTGAGGAAAATATAATTAACAAATTATAAATAACTGCAAATACAAAAAATTACAATACGCAGTAGAAACATCAGAAAGAAACTACAATATATAATTGCCTAAACTTGATTATTTATTGACAGCATTAATTCATTTGCTTTTTCAAAGACTCGGACACATAATCTAGACTAACGGTTTAATGTGATGCTAAGCGCATTACAACAATGACTACACATGGCTTTGAAATACTTGATATATTCTGAGGTGCTGCAAAACACCACATAAATTACAGTTTTTTTGTATTGCACAGCTTGTTTACGACACTTAAAATTATGTGGCCTTTATAGGATTTATTTATCAAGACTCATCATTTCATGGAATTGTGTTTGAGCCGAGGTGTCTGCTCAGTGCATATTCTAGAGACCCTGGCTAATGCTCTGAGAAAAATATCCCAAAAAAAATGGAGTAATTTAAGGTTAATTAATAAATAAACTTTGAATAGAAGTCTAATATCAAAATGCAGGGCCAGCATTTGTTGCCCATTCCTAATTGACCACAGTCAACTGCATTACTATGGACTGCCATACATAGGCCAGACCAGGTAAGGACGGCAGTTTCCTTTGCTGAAGGCTATGAGTGAAGCAGATAGTTCCCCCCCACCCCACCCTCCCCAATGATCGACATTGGTTACATGGTTCTCATTAGACTCTTAACTCCAGATTTTTATTGAATTCAAATTCCACCACCTGCCATAGTGAGATTCAAACATGGGACTCCAGAACATTCTCTGGGTCTGTGGATTAGTAGTCTAGCGATCATACCACACAGCCACTGCCTTCCCCATCATTGCGTGTTAATAAAGTCAGGCCTATTTCTAACTCCAGACACAAGACGATATGGTGGGCTGTTAACTGCCTTGTATTTTACTCAGCAATTTCAATCACTTGTATCAGACTGTGACAGAAAAGTTGAAGAATAAAACCATCCAGGCTAATCAACATGAACTTAAGCATCAAGACATCATAGAAGCATAAAATTTTACAGTACAAAGGAGGTGATTCGACCCATCATGTCTGTACCGGCTTGCAAAAAGAGCTACCCATCTAATCCCATTCTCCAGCCCTATCTCCACAGCCCTCTAAAATCATCACTTTCAAATATATCCAAGGTCTTTATCTTCCAAAGTATTCTTCACTAACACTGGGGACTTTGCCAAAATTAAGAGAACTGTCGCACACATGACTCAAGCAACTGGCTGCTACAATCATACTCACTGAATCATAGCTTGCAGCTAATGTCCCAGTCTCCTCCATCACCATCCATGGTATGCCCTGGCCCACCAGAGATGGTGGTTACAGTGGTATAAAATCAGGAGTCAGTAGTCTGAGAGTCTTCAATATCGACTTCAGATCCCATTAAGTCTCCATGGCATCAGGTCAAACATGAGCAAAGAAACCTCCTATTGATTACAACCTACCTATTACCCTCCTTCACCAGCTGAATCAATGAATACCACTTATGAAAAACACTGAGGTAACAAGGAGATAAAATTTACTCTGGGTGGAGACATCAATTACCACTACAAAGAGTGACTTGGTAGCGGAACTACTGATAGTTCTGCCAGAGTGGACATGTCGGAAGTGGTCAGAAAACCAAAGAGGAAAAAAACCTACTTGATTATGTCATCACCAAAGATACCTGTTGCAGATGTGTGTGTGTGTCTCATAGCAATATTGATAGAAGTGACTGAGGGCACAATATTTAAGGACACCCTCCACTGTGTTGTGTGGCACATGCAACAGATTTAGAACAAAATGAGGAAATGCTGGGGAAACATAATAAGTCTGGCAGCTCTGTGGTGAAAGAAACAGTTGATTCTTCTGAAGAAAAATCATACTGGACTTGAAACGTTAACTCTTTCTCCACAGATGCTGCCAGAGCTGCTGAGTTTCTCCAGAATTATCCATGTTTGTTTCAGACTTCCAGCACTTACAGTATTTTGCCTCGATTCAGAACAAATTTGGGTAAAAACTGGGCACCATGAGGTTTTGTGGGCTGTTACTAGTGACCAAACTGTATTCAATCATAATCTGACACTTCAGGTTCAGAGTATCAGACATTCTGTTCACTACTAGTCCAATGGCAGCAGTCTGTACCATCCAAAAGATGCACAGCAGCAACTCACCCAGGATCCTTAGACAACACCTTCCAAAACCACAAGTTCTACCACCTGTAAGGACAAGGGCAGATGATATATGGAAGCACCTGCAAGTTCCCCTCCAAGTCACTCACTATCCTAACAGAACTATATATCTGTTTCTTCACTGTTGTTGGATCAAAATCCTGGAACTCAAATAAAAGCAAAGTACCAAAATGCTGGAGATCTGAAATAAAAACAAAGTGCTCTAGAAATAGAGCAGCTCTAACAAAGTCTGTGGAATGAGAAAGAGTTAAAGTTACCACTAACCAGTTTTGAAGAAGAATTATATTGGCCTCAAAACATTCACTCTGTTTCTCTCTGCAGATAATGACTGGCTTGTTAAGTTTCTCCAGCATTTTCTGTTTTTATTATTCCTGGAACTCCTTCTCTGATACCATTTTAATTAATGGGTGATGATGGCAACAAATACTGGCCTTGCCAGCAACACCCGCATCCTTTATCTTATCGTTCTTATGTCAAGAAATAAGACAAAAATCCACATGGTCATTGCCAACTTCATAATTTCTATTTTTTAAAAAAAAGCAAAATAAATGTTATTTCTTTCTCAAAAGGGATCCTTAGCAAGAAAAAAAAGATTTTAATCATAAAATTAACAAAGCAGTTTCTCTTTGAAAAGGTGATTTTATGCTCCTTTACACCCAAGGCATTATTTTCATCTAACTGCAGCATTGGGTATAATTCTCATGAACATTGATTTTTAATGTATTCAACCAGCTTCTAACAGAACTGTTAAGTGAATGCAGAAATATAAAATAAAACTGGCACCAAGTATATTCTTAATGAAAAGGAAAACAGATTAGTGACTGGCAAAATGGCTACTCAATTGCCATTATAATTTAAAAAAAATGGAAACCCAACTTTCTTACTCATATTCAGAATTCATTCCGGAGTTTTCCGTGAGGCCTCCTGTTCAACAATTGTTAACAGCAGGGGAGAATCCTCAATTACTGCCGTCAAAAAAATTAAAATGACTAAAGAGTTTTTTTTTCCCGCTGGGATGCATCTTCCCTCGCTAACTTCAGTTTAGTTAGAAAGTGGGATTTGTACTTTCCGGAAGAATCCTTACTGTTTCCAAGTGGAAGAACAAAACACATATACTCCATGCTCAGATTTTTTTTTGCAACTATCACGGTAAAGGCATCATCACAGAAAGTGAATTGTACCAGCAACTAAGAAAAGTTGTAATATCCAAATTAACCCTAGCCAGAATTTTTGTTGGAGTGGGCTTTCTTTGTAAATATTCGGTTATGACTTAAACTCCGATAATTTAAGTAACGGGAAAGAAACTATGACTTAACTACAGAAATGTATCTTTTTATTACAAGTAGGTTTTCTAGCCAACTACAAGGGAATCCAATCGATTTCCCATAATTAGCCGACATAACGAATGTTCTTTAAAAGGCAACAAACACACATGAAAGCAAACTATACTTAATTCGTGAAAGATTAATGAAATAAACCCAAACGACTTCATAAACAAAGATAATTTCAATACTGCGTAAAGATTTTACACCAAAATGACCAGATAAAATATATTTCGCAGCATTCCCGTTTCACGTGTTAAAATAATCTTGCTATTTGCATCGGCAAAGGAATCGCGCTTTAAACGAAACGCCCGTCTCCCTTGCGAATACAGTATACGATTATTCCCCAGCGTGCTTTTACCGCGCAGGGAAGCATTCTGGGCTCGTCTCACCTGTTCCGCCAATGCACCGTAATACATATGAACAGGTTGATGAAAAATATTTACGTCTACTCTTCATTTAATCGCTGCTTCACCCAATTATAAACACAAACAAATTATTTGCAATAAGTCGTTCACAAAAAAGTATTATTTGCCAATATATTTAATGTTAAAGGCATTAGTTAGATCAGTTTTCAAATCACTGTTACTTTGGATCAGAAACAAAAACAAATCACTGAACCCTTGGGATCCCACGATTCTCGACTTCACTCTGCTTTCTCTCCACAGATATGTCCAGACATTCTAAGTTTCTCCAGCAATTTCTGCCTGTTTGTTTCAGCCAACATCTGTAGTTCCGGGGGTTTTATTTTACTTTGGGCAAGAGTTTATTTGTAATTAAAGGAAAATAATGAAGGTCAAAATAATTATGAAAGGTCAATGGGGAGACTGAAGATAATGTGTATCGAGAAAGCCGCGAACGAAAACAAACTTTGGAATATAAATTACTTCGTTTGAGAGGCCAACTAGAACGCACAAAAATAATTTTGTTAATTATAGAATTGAGAAATTACCCCAGAGGGAAAAATAAGCTGGAACGATGGCTCAAGATCGCAGATAAATCAAACTTTCTCAAAAAAAAGCTACAATGCTGATAGAATGTGAAACGTTCAACTTGTTTTTCCGCCATTGCATCCTGGGTCCTGTATGTAAACAGACCAACCATACAGCAATGAACAGGCAGGGAGTACAGGGACACAAACCACGTTCGCGCGGCTGAGATTAACGTAGAATGGCGTCACGGTCAGCACAGACATGGTGGGCTGAAGGGTCTGTTCTTATGCTGTCCCGTTCTATGTAATCATTGCCGTGTTCCTTGAAAAACAAATCCGAGTAGTAAATGAGATTCGTAGCCTCACGGTAATGTGGTTGCAACTCGCCTTAACCCACATTTAATATTGCGTGGTCCACTGCACAAAATAAACGTGTTTAATTTGATTTCCTCCCAACTCAAATACATCTACGGATGTAGCGGTTCCCTGCCAGATAATTAACGACCAGCTAGGGTGGGGGGCGGGCCGAGACGAAGAGCAATTTCCAAATGCTTCAATACGAAGTGTCAATCCGATGTAATATTTCGGAGGTATTTACAATGGCAGCCACCACTTGTCCTCATTAACGTACCTGCTGCACCCAGCTTCAAACTACCCCCTCTCCCGAAAATCCAAACAATAGCAGTAATTTGAAAAGAAATTTTTGGCATTGTCCTGGTTCGACCTAATGAGTAGGGATTAAGTAGCAACTCTACTATAAATGGTCCATGGAAATTTGGGAATAGTCGGAATATCACCATCCGCTCAATTCGGTTGAGTTCTTTGGTCTGACGCAAGTGACGCAGGACCGAAAAGAACTGGAATGGCCTGCAGGGCAGTTAGAAATATGCCCAAATCTAACCTGCAGAGTTTATCGTTCGTTGTAACCTGTTTGCTGCCGGTGGCTTCTCATGGGCTGGCTGTAAACCTGGCCAGTTCCACCAGATGCTTGCACATCCCCAAGACGATGGCCCTGTGCTACGACATCGGATATACCGAGATGAGAATCCCGAATTTACTAGGGCACGAAACACTGCCTGAAGTCATCCAGCAATCCACCAGCTGGTTACCTTTACTGGCCAGAGAATGTCATCCAGACGCCAGGATCTTCCTCTGTTCGCTTATTGCACCCGTTTGCTTAGACAGGTAAGCAGTGTAAACAGTATTCGCCCAACAATCTACGTTGCTCATTCTCGTCTGATACGACAACCGTAAACGTGCGAGCATAGTATCAGATGAAAGGAGAAATACGCAAAAATTGCTTCGTGAAATGCTTTGCTTTGCTCTCAGGTTTACATGCCCAAATACTAAGTGTAACTCCAGGATGCCAGTAAACATTTATCGCGTGAAAGTGACACTGTTGTCAATTTGCAAAATGGGAATCAATTAAGTATTAGTCTAATACGAGATATTTTATGAGTGATGTAATTTTTTGTGTATCAGTCTAAAATCGCTGAACGGTTTTATTTTCTGAAAGCGAGCTGATATCCAATTATTTCCTGTTTTCAAATTTCCAACCTCACCGTCTCCAGTTATGCGACAGGCAGTTTTCAGTTGAGGGTCATTTCTATCACTTTCCACTTTTTTGGGGGTGGGCGGGAACACATCCTTTTCAATTCTCATTTCTCTTCCATCTCCCGTCAACATCTGTAGTCTAATCATATTTGCCCGGCTTTCTAGACAGATCAACATTCTGGTACATCATTTGTTTTCCATTGTCCCATGGGAATTTAAAATTCCTGGTTCTCATTGGACATCTGTCTATGTGTCACAGTACACACTTTCGTATAAAAATCGCTGAGCTGAGATCAGGAACAAGAAATCTGGCTCAATTTTTATATTCCTGGTCAACAGAATTAAAAACTAAGGCAAGTTCTGTTAAACCTGTAGTGAACCTTGCTCAGAACTACTTCAGAGTAGTGTGTGTATTATAGAAAACACTTGGAGCTACTGGAGACAGACTTATTTACAAGAATGATACCAGAAATGCCTATGTTATATATCAAGAAAGGCTCTGTTTTCTCTTTTCAAAAGGCTAAATGATCCAAAAAAAAGTCTTTAAATGTGAAACATTTTAATAGAGTGGATACATGGAGAATGTTTGTTTACTTTTGTAGGGAAGAGTCTAACATGAAGACATCAATATAAGACTATCACCAAGAAATCCAAGAGTGAATTCAAATACACTTTTTTTAACCTAAAGAATGGCAACAATGTAGAACTCACTTCCAAGGATAACCAGAAGTGAATTGTATAGGTGCATTTAAGGGAGACAAGATATGCATATGAGGGAGAACACAGTTGAGTCACAATAACAGATTTAATTAGGAAAGATGGGAAGAGGCTTAAATTGAGCATAAACACTGACATGGCCTGGCTGGGTTGAATAGTCTGTTTCTATGTCATATTTTCTATGTAATAATGCTCCGTACCAGTCGATTAACATAGCAAGCTCAATGCAGAGCACAAATTGAGGCTGATATTTTGCTATCTGTATGGCTTAGTTCCACGTTAGTTAATGCACTTACCAACTCATCAAATTGGTTACTGCACAAATGTTCATAGGAATCTGATGACTGCATTTATCTAACATTATAAATTTATCTATGTCTAGAAGTCATTTCACGCACGCACTTGAAAGCTCACTAATCCTAACAACGTGAGTAAATGTTACACAGCACAATTATTGATTCTGTCTGATTGTCCCAGATGCATGAACTGGGTTACATTTCATTAGCCCCAGTACATGACCTGTTTTATTTTGACTAATTATTGATTTGTTCTGCCAAATATGTATGGCTATTGCTCTCCTATTTGATTGCCCATTTGACATGGAGTTCTACATAAGTGGAAGTTTCCTTCAGTTCATTGTCAGTATACAGAAGCCATCTTCTTGGGTTCATGCCAGCATCTATATGTAATTGTTTCAACTCTGTTCGTGTCCCTTGCTGCCCATTCAGCTAAAAGCAGATGACACAGAGCTTTGGTGATCTGTTCAACCAAAGGTTGTCCAGCTGATCACATACCCAGTCAGTAATGGAAACAACTTTATTTCACAGATCTATAAGAATACTCACTTGTGCCCCTTAGCTAGTTCTCTTTGCTGAAAGCCTAACCCATGAGCTCTCGAATGAAATTCTTAAATGTTCTCTTGCAAGGTGTCCTCTTGTCTATCCTTCAAATGTCAGTTGATCCACAGTTCTACTGTGAGCCCATGGTTTTGAATATGTTCCCATTTCAAACATTAGTGTCAAACTGGAGCACTTCCACACACACATCCAACCACTGAGCTCACACACAAACATATTCCACCTTGTTCCCTCCATTTTTTGCTTGATTTTTGGATTACTGCTCGTTATCTTCAGAGGCTGTACTGGCAACTACCAAACTCCTGCTTTGGAACTTTTTCTAAGATCAGAATGCCCTACAATCTTTCTCCCATGTCTTAAAGTTGTACAGAGATCAGAAACCGGCTTATAGCACTCCCTCCTACAGCATAAAGGGCACCGAAGCATGCCACGGCAGCTAAGCTGATTTGAAATATTAGTAAGAAGTCTGATATTGACTGTACTTTGTATAGTACAGCTTTGCTATATCTGAACTCGATGCTTTATACGTTCGACCCAGTTTGCACTGCTATACGATCATCCAATACCGCAGTATTTAAAGTTACAATGCAAAATTTTTGAGACATGAAATTTTGCCTAATGCAGGAAAAATCCCAACTCCTTTACTACATGAATCAATAATTACTTATACTGTGATACAGGGATAAAAGATTTCTGGAAGCTGTTCGAACTTACTTAATAGTTTTTGACTAGCGCAGACTTGATGAATCAAGGGTCTTTTTCTGTGCTTATAAACCTCAATTATTCTATAACTTTACAGCATCTGAGATGGGAAGGTGCTTAGTGTATTATTAGATGAAAATTGCATCAAATGGGTGAGGAATGCTGGAACACAAAACGTACAGGTGCTGCTAAAGAAACACCCTTCAGTGAAGATCTATTTAATTTAGTCTGGATTATGATATAGAATCACTAGTGTGGAAGCAGACCATTTGGCCCATTGAGTCCACACCAACCCTCTGAAGAGCATCCCACCCAGACCCACTCCTCCCTACCCTGTCCCTGTAAACCTGCATTTCCCATGGCTAATCCACCTAACCTGTATACCTTTGGTGGTGTGGGAGGAAACCGGAGCACCCCGACGAAACCTACGCAGACATGGGAAGAACATGCAAACTCTGCACAGATAGTCACCCAAGGGTGGAATTGAACCTGGTTCTATAGCGCTGTGAGCCACCACACCACCCACTTATATAGTTGTCCTGGGGTTGTGAGTACTTTCAAGTGGTGTTTATTGATGATGCCACAATTAACTTATATATTGAAAAACAATCGAAGCTCGATTGGACACATCTTAAATGGAAATTCCTTAATGAGGTACAGGAACATTTAGGTTTCACTTCCTAATTATTTGGGGAGGTGATGACCTAGTGATATTATCGATAGGTTATTAATCCAGAGACTCAGTCAAAGTCTGGGGACCTGGGTTCAAATCCTGCCATGGCAGATTGTTGATTTTGAATTCAATAGAAGTCTTATATTAAGAGTCTAATGATGATCATGAATCCATTGTCGATTATATGAAAACCCATCTGGTTCACTAATGTCCCTTTAGGGAGGGAAACTGCCATCCTTACGTGGTCTGGCTTACATGTGACTCCAGACCCACAGCAATGACCAATTAGGGATGGACAATAAATGCTGGCCTAGCTAATGACAATCACTTCCATGAAGCAATAATTGCTTATGAAATTATTGAACACATAGCTTTAAAATGTATTATTTTCAATGGTATGTTTTTGTAACAGTCAATAATTTTGGAAAAAAGGCATTCTCCTTTATTTAGATTGAAAAAAAAATCACCTCTTTATGTTCACTATATTAAATTAGGTGGATTGGCCATGGTAACTTGCCCATAGTGTCCAGGGATCTGCAGGTTATGTGGGTTAGCTATATGGAATGCAGGGTTATGGGGACGGGGTGGGACTGGGTCTGGGTGGGGTGTACTTCAGGGTGTCAGTGTTGACATGGTGGGCCAAATGGCCTGTTTCCACACTGTGGTGATTCTATGAATTCAAAATCGGGCTGGGGGGGCGGTGGTGGTGGTGCGGAATCATAGTCTGAATAAGGAATCAGCCATTTAGGACCGAGATCAGGAGAAAGTCCTTCACTCAACAGGTTCTGCACCTTTAAAATTTTCATCCATACAGTGCTGTAGGTGCTCAATTACTGAGAATATTTAAGTCAGGTTGACAGATTTTTAGAGTCAAGAGATATATGTAGATGTGGGAATGTGCGGCTGAGGTAGAAAATCAGCTATGATCCGAATAACCGATAGAGTTGAAGGATAGAATGGCCTATACCTGCTCTAATTTCTTCTGTTTATGATCTTTTACAATTAAAAAGCCACATAAAATTCTATAGGCAACAGCTGGATTTCCAAAATTGCACTTCCAACTTTGAAGGAACAGAATTCATTGTGGAACACTCATCAGAATTAACCCAATATCCTCTTGATTTTTGCCCCTTATAAAGGTTCATACAACCCTGTCGCAGCCTCTGTGTATCAGTGAGGAACAGCTGTGCTCCCATCATGGCATGCTATGGCTATCCATGGCCAGAAATACTGAACTGCAACAAGTTTCCCGCTGACCATGGAATGTGCATCTCTACCATCAGCAACAAGACAGCATCACATAGAAGCAGTAAGTGGTTTTGATTAAAAACATTGGTTTTTATTTAATAGCATATCTTTAAACAAAACCAAACACCATATATTCAAATCAAACCTCATTTTTTTCTGGTTATAACCAAACCATTTCAAACTGATTTCTGATATCCTGTTAAAATAATGAACAAACAGACAAGGAAACAAACACAATATGCAACAAAAAGTTACAAGGATTATTTAACCTTTTCCTTTGGAATTAACTTTATAATGAGTACATTATTCATTGCACTAAACCAGAATGTAGCACCATACCAGTTCTTACTTGCAATTCTCCACAAGATAAATACTGTCACGTGAGACCTTTAGCAGGAAGAAAAATGTCCTTAAAAGGAAGAAAATGAGAGAACCATTCATGCCACTGTTCTGTTTGAAATCAGGAAGCAATTCAGCTACCAACTTTCTCATAGGGAACAAAATATTAGGTAAGAGATCTTTGAATCAAGGGACTAGTTATGGAAAACCTACGGATATGCCAACTGATCAGGCAACAGCACAGACTGATAATGAAATCTCAAATTCCTGGTCTGTGTGGTTCAGTAACTGCCCTAGTATACCCACTGTGCCACTGGCATCATCAGTGCTTCAGACAAATGCAATACATTTTATTAACTTTATTGCCCATTTACCCACCCTCCCCTCACCCCAGTCTCTGATTTCACAAATTCAGGCAGTCTGGATGTTTCATAATTTTCTCATGGAATTTGTTCCCTTTGAACTTAGAAGATTGGTAGCTCTTTGGCTTGAGGACTACTGGCCTTCATCTTGTGGGGTCTGTAAACTGTCTTTCACCAGGAGGATCTTTTATTTCTTGGATGTCCTTTGCAGAGGGACCTACTAAACCAAGAAAACAGTACATTACAGTAGCCTCCTGAATTTCTTTAGTGGTAGAACTCTTCCCTGCTGAATCAGGTAGTTGACATGAGATCATCTTGGCGATATTTAATCATATGAATTTCCATCATGGAAGATAATTGTTCAGTGGAAGCAAGTACTTTATTGATTGCAGTATCATGGATTTCTGAGCCAGATAATCTCTTCTTTTTGACCACGTCTTAATTTGGGGATGTTGATTTGGCTTCCATGGTATCATATGCAGTTGAACTTCATTCTGTACAAGCATATCCTTTTTCTCAATCTGCTGATAGATCTACGTTGAAGTACTTAACTTACTTGCTTCAATATGTTGACTGGATTGAATGCCATCATTCTCCCTACGTTTATTGCACTGGCGCATCAGACATTTTCTCATCCTCGGTCGTGGACTTAGCATTATCTCTGTCAATGTACTGATAATTCTGATACCGAAGACAAAAAATTGAAATATTCACCAGTTTGTTCACGAGGCTATGTTGAAGCCTGAACAGTTTCAGTTAAAGATTTGTCAGTGAGCTCTAGTGGGGTGTAACACTCATTCTTTTTCTCCTCGTTTGCACGTTTATGCAAACTCTGCTGGTTTCTATCTCCTGAATTTTCCACTGGCAAAATGGTGCTTGACTTCCAGTCTTGGGCCTTTGGCTTCCTGCTCTCAGCTCTCCCATACCTGGACTTTGGCCTTCCTCTGGACCTTAACCGCTCTCCAGCTCCTAAAACTCAGCACAAACCCCTTTCCACTCCAATCGATTCCCTCCTGCAGCTATCTCACAGCCAGCATTTACTTACCAAGTTGCTTGTTGCTCTTCCAACTAAGGATAGTTTCTCTCCCACATTTGTTCCTCATAGGTTTACTAGAGGCACATTTCTAGAGTAAGGCAGTTGAATCTCAACCGCTGTCCAAAATAATTTCAAAGACAGTTACGGATGGGCAACAAATGCTGGCCTTATCAGCGACACCTATTAGGATAACATCATTGTTTAATTTAAAGTATCTGATGTTTAGCCTACTTTTTGTGTTGACTTGTCACTTGGGCCTTTAAAGTGTTTTCATCTTACTAGGTTCCATTGCTCTCATGGTAAAGTTGTTCTTCTCCTCTCAGGATGTGTCTGCAATTCTTCCTGGTTTCTGCTATGAGTATACTTTGACTAATTTTCTTTCAAGTCAGATCCTCTTTGGACTGTAATAAATCTGACAAAAACCCATCAATAATTCCAATAATTCTATATCTTATAATCTTAAAATTTCAATTTTAAAGCTCCATGTCACAGTTTTCCACTACTGAGAAATCATTAATGAAATTATGTAGTCCCCTGGATGCTGAACCCCTGTTAAATCTTGCTTTTTCAAGAATTGTATTTGTTCTTGGAATAAAGTAACTCTCAAAAGCTTGCAGAGTTTTTTCAATAGCATCTGTGCCTTCTTTTACAGTTGGTGAGTTATAACATTGGCAGTAGATAGTAGATAAATTATAGTAATGTACTTATTTAATGTATGATGTAAGTTTGAAGAACCTTAAGAATGGTCTTCTCAAGGATATCCAATCCTGTTCTTTTTGTCACATCTCTGAGATCAAATCTTGTATAGAGCATTATTTCTCCTATATCTTCCTAATATGATTACCTAGTTCTCTTAAAGCTTTTAAATTGTGCACATAATCGCAATGCTGCTGTGATCTCTTCCCCCTTGAAGACTTCTACTTCTGTAATTAGCAATGCTGTCTCATTTTCCTTGTCTAAATGTTAAACCATCCAATATATCAATACTTTTTTTTTCCTAAATCTAATTGTTAATGCACTGCTTACTGGGGCTTTTGCTGCATTTTTACAGTCAGGCAAAATGGAAGTTTCCTATTTTACTGTGGACAAAATAGTAATTTCCTGTCTTTCACAGCTTAATACACAATGCACGCACAAAACAAGTCCTGTGCCTGAAGCCTTAATCAATTCTTCCCACCAGGCCCAGAGTTCAAATTATGGATCTGCTTTATCACAACATCAAAGATCTTGTTGCCATCTTCTTTTGTTAAGATTATCTGCTTTAGCTTTTAAATTGTTTCTTTTGTTACCTTTATTCTGCTTTGTGATTTTACAGTTGCTATGACCTTGATTATAAAATACTTCCGTAGCCCTGGGTTTCTTGACCAGAACCATGCTCATGATTTCTGCTCACTATGGTGGTTACAGCCATTGTGAGCTGTAAGTATTCATTTTTTTTCTTCTGGACTGTTCCAGTTTAGTTTGTCATGTTAATCTATGGTTTATCCCCTTGCTCAATGAAGATTCATAATTTCAAACAAAGAATTTTGCTTCATAAATTTCCTAGCCAAACCTCCAACCAGGAATGCTGCTACAGATACTTGTATCCTGATGAAATCTGTAATGACCAAGTTTGATTAGTCTTGAAACTATTTTCTGTCTCACACTGCTTCTTTTCCTGTCCTACCAGGGAGAACATCCTTTCTGCTATGCAAAATTGTGATACAGTTGTGTGGCTTGCTAGGACACTTTAGACTACAAGACTGTAAGAAATAGGAACAGAAGTAGGCTGTTCAGCTCCTTGAGCTTCCTCTCCCATTCAGTAGGATCATGGCTGATCAAACATTCCTCATGTCCACCTTCCTGCCCTTTTCCCATAACCTCTGATTCCCCCACTGATCAAGAATCTCTCTATCTCACTTTCTACCCCGATAACCTAACACCCCTTACTCGTCAAGAATCTACCTTCTTCTACCACAAGAGCAGTTAAGAATCAAAGTGTTCAAGAATCAAAGAACTAAACTAAATATTAACTTCAACTCCCACATTCCCCCCAAACAAAGTTGGGAAAAAACAAGATTGGATCATCGTAAAGCACTGTAACCATACTGCCTGCATCTAAAAAATATGCATTTTTGTTCACTACATAGCAGTGCCTCAAGCAAGCTGTCAAGACTGCGAATTAGAAGAAACGACCTCGGCAAAACAAATACTCAATACGTTTTGTTCACATGATTTTGGTAAGTACAATTCAAGGCAATAATGAAAATATCAAGTGACTCTCAAATCCATTCTTGCTAATATCTAGCTAATAGAAGCCACTATTTAATGAAGCTAATATCTAGTAGAAATATTTTGTCAACGTGATGGGCTTGAGATCAAGAGCTCTGTTTGCAGCTTTTGACTGGATCTGCAAAACTAGAATGAAATTTTGCCGAAAATGTGGCAGAGAATGTTGACGTGAAGAGTCTTCCACTGTCTCCATTTCTCAAGAATGTCAGAAATATTTATTTGGGGACAACAATGTATCTCAACAGTGCAGTAGTTATAACAGATTAACAACCTAAAGCATATCAGTTTCAATCCCATTAAAGTATTTATCCAGTCAATATAGGTACTTGCAAGGTGAATCCTGTTGATCATAAAAACCCACCTGATTAACTAAAGTTTTTCTGGGAAAGAAACCCTGTTCACTCTATCTTTTCTGGCTCATACAAGGTTCAATCTGAGCAATGTAGTTAATTCTTAATACTTGGTGAAGTGGCCATTCAAGACACTCAACTGAAAAATAAATCATTGAAGTTATGCAGCCTTCAGTACTGGTGTACTTTAAAGATTTTCAATAATTCACTATTTTATTATAAATTACTAATGATCAAAGTAGCTCACTCCAAATCAGTTATTACATTAGACCATAAAGGCTGGGTAGATAATATTGTTTGGAAATTACAGTTTCTTGCTAGGCACAGTTCTTTAAATACAGGCAGCCCTCTCAAAACTTACCCAAATGGCCAGTACTCATGTTAGCCTGGTTGATTCTAGCCTTGAATAGAGAATGGCATCATAGCTGATCTCAATCTTGGCCTAGGCAAAGAGAGAGTATGAAAAGAGACTGGCAGCTAACATAAAAGGAAACCTGCAGGTATATAAATGGTAAGGGTAGTAAAAGGAGGAGTAGGGACAATTAAGGACCAAAGGAGATACATTCAGGAAGGCAGAGGCATGGTTGAGGTATTAAACAAATATTTTGAATCTGTATTTACAAAAGGAAGAAGATGCTACCCATGCCACAGTGAAAGAAGTAACAGGTTAGAAGGAATTAAAATTGAAAAGGAGGAGAAATTAGATGGGCTCTCTGTACTTAAGTTGATAAGGCACCAAGACTGGATGAGATGCATCTAAGAATATTGAAGAAAGTTGTGGAGGTACTGACCAGATATCATTTCTGCTTTGACAAAGGTATTCAAACAGGAGTCTAGACATAGTAGGTAAGAAGAAACCGTTCCCACTGGTGAAAGGACCAAGAATAAGGCGGCACGGGTTTAAACTAATTGGCAAAAGAAACAAAAGTGCCATGGAGAAAAACTTTTATCAGGTAGCAAATACGAGTAATCTGGAATCCTCAAGCTGAGGGTAGGGTGGATTCAGGTTCAGTTAAGGCATTTGAAAATAAATTATAGAGTCATAGAATCCCACCAGTGCAGAAAGAGGCCATTCAGTCCATCAAGTCTGCACTGACCCTCTGAAGAGCATCTGACCCAGACCCGTAACCCCGCATTTACCATTACTAACCCAGCAGCCTGCACATCCCAGGACACTACAGGACAATTTAGCATAGCCAATCCACCTAATTTGCACATCTTTCGATTATGGGAGGAAATCGAAGCATGTGGCAGAAACCCATGCAGACACAGGGAGAATGTGCAAACTCCACACAGACAGTCATCCAAGGCTGGAATCGAATTTGTGTCTCTGACATTGTGAGGCAGCAGTGCTAATTCCTAAGCCACTGTGCTGCAGTATATTGTTGTCTATAACAGAATACTCCACAAGGTTATAGGAAGAAGACTGGAATTGCATTGGATGAATAGGTCATTTGGAGATTCAGTACAGATACAACATGCCAAATAGCCTCCTTCTATGGTGCAATGATTGTTGCTATGTTTCTGTTCTGTGAACGATTACAGAATACATTTTCAAGCAGGGATCACTGGTCTGTAGTCAACAGTGGGATACTCTGCTTAATCCAACACTAAGGTGAAGTGTTCTTATTGCTGTCCTATTTAAGGTTAGGAAATTCAGCACAGACGAAGAATCAAAACAGGGAATACAATGTCTGTTTGGCTTAGTACTACATTGGGAAGTGTCTTTACCCATTTAGGAAACTTTTATCATAGAATCATAGAAATTTTTTTTATCATAGAATCCCTACAGTGTGGAAATAGGCCCTTTGGCCCAACAAGTCCACACCGACCAACAGAGCATCCCACCCAGACCCATCTCATGATAACCCACCTAATCTAAACATCCCTGAACACTATGGGCAATTTAGCATGGGCAATTCATCTTGCCTGCATATCTTTGGACTACGGGAAGAAACCGGAGCACCCGGAGGAAACCCGCACAGACACTGGGAGAATGTGCAAACTCCACGCAGATAGTCGCCCAAGGGTGGAATTGAACCCGGGTCCCTGGCATTGTGAAGCAGCAGTGCTAACCACTGAGCCACCGTGCCTCCCTTTTTAACTATGGTTTAAAAAGTCAGTTTCGCATGTCCAAATCAAGTCATACTCAGTGCCAACCTATATGTCCCAAGCATCAGGGCTTATAGGGCATGAACATAACTTCCTATTTAAAGGGTGACAGAGAAACATGGGAGAAATTACCCAATAAAATGACCATTTCAAGTCAAGCTTCCATGCAGCAAGTTTAAAATCAAGTTTCTGCAATTTCTAAATAGGAATCTTGAAGAAAATAATCATAACTTCAGCAAGTTCAAAACAGATTTTGCACACACTGGAAATCCTTTACTCAATCTCTCTCTTACTTGTCTCTTCTAATGTCACTAACTTGCAACAGATAATTCCAGGGGATTTTGTAGACCTCTCATAGCACTCACACAACGTAAGTTCAAGACACATTGTCACTAGACTAATTGACAGCAGGGTCATCCCAATTGAACCTTCCCACAATCAATGTCTTTACAAGCAACACTTTCTACCAGGGACAGCTGGATTGCAATAAGGAATGGCTGATTGCCTTTGTCTACCCAAGCCCAGAGAAACCAGAGCTAATTGCTTGCAAGGAGGGATTGAAAATGGAAACATCCAAGTTATGCTTTATTGTTTCGATAGGTAGTGTTGTACAAAATCTTTGCCAGCTGTTTGTCTGTCACAATTATTCATACATTACACAGGGTCCTCGATTACTTGGCAAGATTCTCAAATTACTTGGCTTACTCGTAATTTTATTTTTCTGAATTGTGAATTATGAAACAGTGAAACTTACTGCTCAAAATATTCTCCCACCAACAGCAGTAAAAATCAGAATTTCAAAGAGAAACACAAGTTTTACCAAGATCTCAGATTTTGAGATGGACAGCAAATTGGAGGTCTTCAAGCACGGACCCCTCCTCAAGACAGAGATCCATCCCAGGCTTCAGCATTGGCTTGACTTGGATGCCACTTGTGTCCAGAACATGACGCGAGGCAACCGTACAGGAACTTTTGTGATTGTGGGACGAATTCAGAATGGCAAAATTTCAGTGTACAAGGTGTTCTTGTGGCAAAAGCGCGACAAAAATCTCATGCATGCTGTTAGAAAGTGGAAACACTACAGATGCCGCACGCAATACTGAGATAGAAAATTATATTTGTAAATATGTATTATTAAGCAACTGTAAAGACCCTATAAAGTACTTTATCTTTTTTCAGTGCTGACTGCATTCTTAATAGCAAATTTAGATCAAGAGTGAGAAATTTAGAACTGAGGCAGGAAGTGATCTCTATGAAGGCATTTCTACACAAGTGCTGAACTGTCAGACAAGGTGGAGTCTTTTACAGACATGAAGTTTGCAATTTTCATTAACAAAGGAATATATACTTATTCACAGCCCATCTGCTATCTGTGCGTACTGAAACAATCACGAATACGCAGGCTACACTAGATTAAATGAGTTTTACATTAAATTAGTGTCCATTTTATCTTAACAATTTAACCATTTTGATGCTGTGAATTCTCCAATATTTTTCCTCCAAATATTTTTTTTGATCAGCTCCGGCCATTGTCAGTATAATGCCTTTTCCTTTGAGAATATGAATTGGCCCTTGACTGCTTCTGTTTTTATTCAACACGATATTAATTGAACAAGAGTCAAATTGCTTTTGCAGGTAACTTTAATCAGTCTGCAGCAGTAAGATCAGTGACAAAACTGCAAAATGTGTGATATATACTGCCAATTTTATCTTTACAGAAATTCCATGTTATGGTTGCTGTTCTCAGATACTTTATTATTGAAGGCAAAGAAAACGGACAGCAAAGATTAACTAGGATAATGTCCATGCTTGAAAGGTTTTAAATGTTGGAACTGAAAAGGTTAAACAGCGAATCTAAGAAAGATAAAATTCTCAAAGGTTTCAGGGGAGTAATGCATGAAAGACTGCCCGACTGTTTGGTGAATTAGTAAAAAAAAAAGCAGAGATTCCATATTAGAATCACAATGAAAAAAACTACTCAGCCCATCATCCTTATGTCAGCTTTTTGCTAATTCCCCTGTTTTACCACACAGCACTGCTAATTACTCCTTTATAATGATTATCATTGGAAATGAGCAAAATCTGTTTTGTTTGCATTGTTGTTAGAACAGGTGGTTTACCTCAAGCGGCTCACGAAATAACTTGTTCTGGTTGAGAAAAATAGAATAATGATCAAAAAAAATAAAAATATTAAAAATTACAGGAAAATGAAATTGGCATAAAAATTCCATTTAAACATTAAGAGTAGAATGGCTTTATTCTGTGTTGTAAATTCTATACTTCAAACTTTTCTTCGAGATTATTAATTGATATTAATCCATCTTTGCGAAGTATGGATACAAACCAATGATAAAATTGTTCTTCATTTAAAAAGAGTAGTATTTTGATACACTTCCTTAGTTCAGTTGAGGTGTATTGTGCAGAGTGGACTGAGTCATGCAGAATAGGAAAGTTAAAATATAATCCTTCATGCATCCTGAATTAAATGACATCCAGGCATTGTGACAGTAGGAAATCTACCTTTGGGTCTACCTCCCTTTCCTAGGGAAGTAGAAAATAAATCACGTTTTCTGCACCTCTTGATCACCCATTACTCTTTCCGAAATGCAAGTGTGGATGCTGGACAAGAACTGGATCAGGCTCAGCTATGATGTCACCCAATGTCATATTTTCTGTCAACATTATTTTTTAATCCATACACGGTGAGCAACACGTCAGTAACATTGGTGAAATCTTACGTCAGCAGCGTTGTTATAATCCTTATGACAGAACTGCTGGGTCAAAATCCCAGAAGTTCCTTCTTAACAGTATGTGAACTTAAGTGGTTCAAGAAGATTGTTCATCACCATCAAGGCCAAAAGGGCAATAAATGTTAACGTAGCCAGCAAAGTCCTCATCCTGGGAACGAATAAATTAAACTGAATTAACTATGATGACAATCACCCCCAAAGGAAGAAATTATCAACAAGCTTCCACTTGTCATTAGTTTTACTTTAACCCGAATCAAAATGGATGGCCGGTTTGTGATGCAAACAGCGTGGGTTCAATTCCTCCACTGTTTGAGGTTACCATGAAGGACTGTCATTCTCAACTTCCCCACTTGCCTGAGGAATGGTGACCCTCAGGTTAAACCACCACCAGTTGTCTCTCTCTAGTGAGAGAGTAGGCCTTTGGTCTTCTGGGACTGTGGTGACTTTACCAAACTTTTTATTGCAAGAAGTAAACTTTCCAGAGCAAGAGACTAGATAATTAGATTACGTAATTCAAAATCGATCTGTGATCAGTGCCAGAAGGGTGCAACTTCTGGCTGCGCCAGAAGGCAGATATGAGGCCCAGGGGATTAAAACCGAGGAGCTGCTGGCCCAGCAAATTGTCCAACGGTTCCAAGGTTCTTACAAGCTGGGCAGACAAGAGCGAGGTCTGCAGGAAAGATAAGTAAACTGAACAGGACACCTTGATAAAGGGAGCCATTCAAATGGGGGAAGGAAATTGGAATGTAGGTGTGAGAAGGGACAGTATGCAAAGGGGGGACAGACACTATTCTCTGCCTGCCCGGTACCAGGGTTAAGGTCTTCTCCTCAGGCTTAAGAAGAACTTGGAGAGACCATAAGACCATAAAATATAGGAGCAGAATTAGGACATTTGGCCCATTGAGTCTGCTTGCCATTTGATCATGGTTAATATGTCTCTCAATCCCATTCTCCCACCTTCTTGCCATTGCCCAAATCTCCTCACCAATCAAGAACCTATCTACCTCTATTTAAAAGACACTGAATAATTTGGTCTCCACAGCCCTCTGCAGCAATGAGTTTTGCCTTTTGCTGAAGAAACTCCTCCTCATTTTAGTTCTAAAGGGTTGTCCCTTCACTCTGAGGCTGTGCGCTTGGGTCCTAGTCTGTCCTACTAGTGGAAAGATCTTCTCCAATCTATTCAGGCTGCTCAGTATTCTGTCAGTTTCAATCAGATCTCGCCCTCATCCTTCTAAATTCCATCAAGTACAAACCCAAAGTCCTCAACTGCTCCTCAGATGACAAGCCCTTCATTCCCAGGATCATTCTTGCAAACCTCCTCTGGACCCATTCTTCATTAGACACAGGGCCCAAAACTGCCCACAATATTCCAAATCGGTCCGACCAGAGCCTTATACAGCCTCAGTAGTACATTTCTGTTCTTGTATTCTAGCCCTCTTGAAATGAACACTAACATTGCATTGTCTCCCTAACTGCCAACTGAACCTGTTGTTATCCTTAAGAGAATCCTGAACTTGGACTCCCAAATCTCATGGTGCATAAGATTTCCGAAGCCTTTCCCCATTTAGAAAATAATCTGCACCTCTATTCTTCCTGCCAAAGTGCATAACGTCACACTTTCCCACATTGTATTCTTTCTGCCATTTCTTTGTCCACTTCCCTAGTCTGTCCATGTCCTTCTGCAGCCTCCCTGCTTCTCATCTACCCCTTCACCTATGTTTGTGTCATCTGCAAATTTAGCAACAATGTTCTCAGTTCTTTCAACCAGATTGTTAACACAAAATGGGAATAATGGAACTCCATGAGTCATCCTGAAAAAGATTTTTTATCCCCGCTCTCTGCATTCTGCCATTCAGCGAATCCTCTATCTATGCTAGCACCTTGCCCAGAACACCATGGATTATCTTATTCAGCAGCCTTCTAAGCAGCACCTTATTAAAGGTCTTCTGAAAATCCAAATAGACTACATCCACTGGCTCTCCTTTACGTATCTTGCTCATTATCCCTCAAAGAATTCTGATGAAGTTGTGCTGACTCAGCTCTATTTTACCATGCATTTCAAGTACTCTGCAATTTCATTCTTAACAATTGTCTCTAAAATCTTACTAATGGCTGAGGTCAGGTTAACTGGCCTATAGTTTCCTGCCTCCTGCCTCCCTCCCTTCTTAAACAGGGGTGCTATGTCAGCCATTTTCCAGTCCTCTGGGATCCTTCATGGCTCCCATGATTCCTGAAGGATCACCACCAATGACTTTACAATCTCTTCAGCTATCTCCTTGAGAACTCTGGAGTATAGGCCAGCTGATCTGGGTGATTTATCCGCTTTCAGACCTTTCAATTTCCCCAGCACCTTCTCCCTAGTGATGGCTACTATACACCCCTCTGCCCCCTGACACTCTTGAATTTCTGGTACCCTGCTGGTATTTTCCACTGTGAAAACTGAAGCAAAGTACCTATTCAGTTCCTTCACCATTTCTTTGTTCCCCATCACTACTACTTCAACTTTATTTTCCAATGCTCCAATGCACACTTCTGCCTCTCTCTTGCCTTTTAGATATCAAAAAATTCTTGCAATCTTCTTTCATATTACCAGCTAGCTTATTCCCATATTCCACCTTCTCCCCGTTTTTTTTTAAATTTATCCTCCGCTGGTTTATAAACGGGTTCCCAATCCTCTGGCTTCCCATTAATCTTCACCACATTGTATGCTTTCTCTTTTGCTTTCAGGCTATCCCTGACTTCTCTCATCAGCCATGATTGCCTCATCCTCCTCTCAGTATGTTTCTTCTTCGTTGGGATGAATTTCTGCCATGCATCCTGAATTACCTCCAGAAACTCCTGATATTGCTGCTCCATTGTCTGCCCTGCTGGCTCCCCTGCCAATCAACTCTGGCCAGCTCCTCACTCATGTCTTTGTAGTTACCTTTACTTAATTGTAATATCATTACATCTGATTCCAGCTTCTCCCTCTCAAACTGAAGGGTGAATTCTATTGTTTTATTTTCACTGCCCTCTAGGGGTTCCTTCATGATAAACTCCCCAACGAAATCCAGAATTACCTCTCATTTTATTTGGTGATCTCCCCCTCAACTGCCTCCGAGCTGCTAGCTCCCCAACATTGCACAGGCCACATCTACCTCCTTCCCAAAATTCACAAACAGGACTACCCGGGAGGACTCTCTGTTTCTGCCTGCTCCTGCCCCATAGAACTCCACTCTTCCTACCTCTTCTCAATATTTTTCACCTCTTGTCCAGTCCTTTTCCACTTATACCCACAATTCTTTTGATGCTTTACGTCAGTTTCAGAATTTCCAGTTTGCATTCCAGCTGCCTCCTCTTTACTGTGGACATGCAATCCTTTTACATGCCCATTCCCCAACAGAATAGTCTGAGGGCTCACCCTTCTTCTGAGAAAAAAAGACCTTAAACTTCCCCATCCACCACCACCCTTCACTGCCTGGCAGAACTCGTCCTCACTTTAAAGAATTTCTCTGTTAACTCCTCGCACTTTCTTCAGGTCAAAGGTACAGACATGTGTACCTGCATGGACCCCGGTTATGTCAGTCCCTTTGTGGAGTACGTTCCTTGTTCTGGTCATACTTGGGCTCCCACCCACAGCTCTTTCTCCAA